CTGTAGAGTATCACCTGAGGAAATCAGAATATGCAGAAAACAAAACCAAGAAACTTCAGTCTGTCTACAACCTTTCTCACTTCATATCAAAATAACCTTCAGGAAAGATTTTATACAGCAGTATTGCCTATATTACAGAAAAAATTTAGTCTCATTGTAGAATATAAGAAACAGTTTTCCATTAATTCTACAATGTAACTTACTAAAAGAGCATAATTTAAAGACCTAAAGGAAAACATAAGGTATTCAATTTAGAATACTGTTCAGAAACCACGGACTTTCTATCCTTTTTTCCTTTAAATAAGTAAACATATTTTTACATGCAAAATAAAAAGTTGTCTACTTATAAGGTAATTGCTACTTCCTCCTGAAATCCAGATGCATCATGACATTATTTTTTTCAAAAACAGTTTCAATTTAGTATTTCTATCTAATTGCAATTTGTGCATTTTTTCTTCACTATGTGAATAAAGGGAAAAACATCTTCCATATTTACCTTTTCCCCTCAAACTACCTTCTCCAGAAGCTCATTCAGGAGAAACACAAAATTTCTTGACTACAAAAGGGAGATGGATACAATACACTTGTATTGTTTGGATAAAAAGTTCATATAAATACAAAACCGTCACTCTAAAATCTTTATTATGGTAAGCGTGAAATCAATGTACAGACAAGGTGCGTAAGCATTCTGCATAGTCTCAGAGTGGAAGAGGAAGGCACCTAACCGAATGCTCTGACTTGCTGTGGAGGCTGTCTAGGATACCTTCAGTCTGACTGTGTCCATGTACTGTATAGTCTGTAACCGTTTTGAAACTACAGGAAGTCCCATAATATTGTGCCGCCAAATGAAAGAAAATGATGGTATTTCTGTGCACTCAGCCTCTTTTGTAAGAATCTGTGAACACTGCTACCAACTTGGATGGCAAAGCACATTGTTTTCGCCTTTAATTCAGTTTCTTTAAATTGCCAACAGTGCAAAAGAAAGGAGAAACAGCTCTGGGTACCCCACAAAGCAGAACCGTAAAGAAATCCAGACCTTCTCATGTGTAGCTTATGAGTTTAGTTGGGAAACAACTTTAGCACTTAGCCAATCTGTGCAGGAGGAACAAAGCTCTCCTGGACTGGTAACCAATTTCTATTAGCTTTGCAACACACCCCACACACCGTTCCAGCTTTCTCTGAATTTCCCTTTTTGTTAGCTTGCTTTTTTAGCTGGCTATGTATACTCTCTGAAAATAAATGTGACTACAAGCATATTCAGTAACAGAATCAAACACTCATTCCATTTTCTGTTATCTACTTACATTTTATTACAGACTAATGTGAAACCATCTCATATTCATACTAGAATGATTTTAATTACTTGTGAACAAACTTAAACGAGTCTCAAATGTTTATATTTATTGCAAGCAGATTCATGTCTCCTGCTTATATATTCTACATAAGGATCCAAATGTGACTGAATATAAACAAGTTGTATTTGGTTATCTACAGAAATAAAAGTTAAAAATAGCACTGAAAAGAAGCTTTACAGTAATGTATTCACACACTGATTCTTCAAATCAAATAAATGAAGTGGTATAGGATAATCTAAACATTAGATTTGAAGGCTGATTTATTTTCAAATAAATGCACCTATAATTGTACAATTAAAAATAAGTGTCAGTATTTGGTGCTGATGACTACAGACATCTTTAATGTTTAATGCACAGATAACTACCCCCCAGCCCCCCTACAGCAACTTTCGCAGATTCTACTTTACATTAGGTCATGAAAGGACATTTAAAATGCAATGTGTACATAGCACAGAATTTATCAGAGACAATGCAGATTAAAATTCTGTGAATTTTCATAAGGTAAAAAATTAAAGCTATATAAACTGATTTTTAGATTATTCTGCAAAGTAGAATCACATACTTTTCACTTTCATAATACTTTCACAAATTTCCATTAAAGCTTTTTTAACAGAGAGAGTAGCATGAGCACAATGATCCCACTGGCTTCCAAAAGAAAAGTAGTGCAGTTGCTCAGTTAAGCTATTTTTATCTTTTATATTTGCAAGCCAGTTGGGTCAAGACAAACAGGCTAATGCAAGCAAGAAAGTAAACTGTAAGCTTTTACATTAAGTGGCTGAACAAACAATTATTGTACATGGTAAACCAAAAAAGATCTTTTGCCACAAGCCACTGCAGGAATATATGAACTTCAGTGGCCGAAAAGCTTGAAATGCTTTCTAAGTCTTCACATACATTTGGTTAGCGCTTACCAGTTTCAAGACATTTATAGAAGCAGTTATGGAGACACTATTGCTGTTAAAGCTGCAACAATTTAAACAAGGCAAGTTAGGAAGTTACATAGATTTTTATACTTCTCCCCTTTAATTCTTTTTTTTAATACATAAAAATCTCTTTTCAGTGTCCCACCCATAATAAAACATTCTAATTCATTTTGATCTAACTACTACTTTTGCATCTTTGAATTGTCTGATCCATTTACAATGAAACTCCAAGTTAACACCTGCTGCAGTGGACTAGGTTTGCATGGCAATAGTGACAGGGACTGAAGCAAGTGAAACCGAGTTGATGTTACATGTTTTTTCCATTAAAAGGTCTATTTTAACAAACAAACAAACAAAGAAACAAACAGTACCAACTTTTAAAGGTAAAATATTGCTAAATCAAAGCAGAAACTTCCACTTAAATTCAAGCATTCTTTCTCCTCCAAAAAATGACATGTTCAACTAAAATTTCCCAAGCACTTGTATAGCTGTTTCAGCCTGAATAACATTGTCAATAATTTCTAAGTGCTGGGCAATATGAAGTTTGCAATGAACTGCTTTGTTAGTAGGCAGAACAGGAATGCAGCATTTTCAAAAACATCAAGCAAAAATCTCCTTATTTAAGGCTAAAAGATGGAACTCGGAAAAGTAAAAAAGCAGGAGGCTGTATAGAGTAAAAAAGCTAGCAGTAATAGTATAGCACGGAAAGTACAGCGCTCTAATTGCCGCTATCACAAATACCAACAAAACATCAATAGTTTGGGTGAGACTGACAGAGCAATAGACCTATATTTCTAATTTGACATTCATGAGAATTTTAACATTCAGCCACAACTCCACTCTAAGCTAAATTTAAGTGGCCAAAACTCATAGGTATAAAAAAAGCCTTCAAAACATATACTTAAAAAAAATAGAAATGGTGTGTTAACAAATGTATGCGTAAAACAGATTTATAAATAGCTACAGTATGAAAAATATTTCAGTGCAAAGGCAATTTTAAGATTTCTAAAAAATACATTACAAATAATTTGTTAACTACACACAAGAAATTTGTCACTGCTACTGGTATAAAATTTATACCCATATTAACTTTTTAAAAATATATACACCAGTGTTTTATGTAGGGGACGGTTCTAACTGACCAACATTCAAGTCTGCAATGGCAAGTATATGTACACACACCCACACACATATGTATGTATTTCAGAATGTTACTGCTGTGAGGACATTCTTTGAAACTTAAAAGTGCTACATGTTAAATGGTAAAAATACCTTCATCTGTGGTGCTCACCATTAGACTTTTTAAAATTCTCTTTATCTTTGGTATACTGAAAATTTCACAACTCCCTTTACAATCTCTGCTTGTCCCAGGGCATTTTAATAATATTTCACTGTTTGTTTAATGTGAAAATCACTTGGAATATTGTGAGGAACATTTCCTAGTAAGCTGATTTTTCTTTTATTAAGAAGTAAATTAGTAAGTAAACTCTTTTGCCTCTTTTTTTTTTTTTTTTAACACAAAAAGGGAAATAATTTTTCTCTGCCACCCTAGTCCATTCGAAATACAACTAACAATGTCTTGGCCAAGTCTTCCAATAAAGGCTGCAGCTCTGATTCCAAATATTTTGCTTTCAAATTGAAATAAATTTTTAGCTAATGTCCTCCCAGAGGTATTTAATAACTATAGTTATTAAGCAGTTCTAACCACCAGGCTGAAATTGACTGGAATCAGATTACTTCTTCAGATATTTTTGCACCCCAAAATAAAACACTGGACTAAAGAAACAAGACAAGGACACAGCTAATAGTTAAATTAGTGCAAGGTAACATCAATGTAGCAGAGAAAACAGAAGTGCAAGTTGGCTGTCATTCTTAAAGTAATTCAAACGGAATCCTTGCAGTCGAACTAGTTTCTGTGTCGCAACTATGGTTCAACTGTTAGTGAACAGCCGTGTGCCACCTCGTGGTTTGCTTGCAAAAGTTAACAGTTGTGTGCTTTGTAATACACCTACCAGGCCGATAGCCAGTATTTAACCATACACACAAAAAAGTCAAAATTAAGAGGATGAATCCAGATAGTAAAAGATGCTTATTTGGAAAAACAGCCTTTCTTCTTTTAAGGAAAAAAATGTGTCAAAAAAAGCTTAATATATAATACTTTCTGCTATGCATATTCTATAATCACGGTGATAGGAAGTGGGAACACCAAGTAATCTGCATCTTTGACAAATTCACAAAAACTTTCTAGGCAAAATGCTTACATTCTGTTTTTGAGTAGATTTCAACATTGATGATATTCACCTATTTAACAGCCAACTTGACTTCATATACTTTGTACACACTCCACACAGGGATTGTTTTGCCTATCTTTCTACGGGGGAAAACTAACTGAAAACCAGATATAGCCCTGATTTGGCCACTTACAAGGAAGTGAACATTAGAGAGTGTTTCTTGAAAGCAGATTTGCACAGAGGAAACACCAGTTTGTTCTACAGAAAGAGCAAAGAAAGAAAAAGGACAGAGGAAAATCAGAAACAGCACTTGTTAAATATGCTTTAGGAGACTTTCATTGGAGATAACTGAGGTCATTGCTTCTGGCTGAAAATTAAAACTGTTGATCTCAAAATGTAGGTCACTGACTGAAACTATACACTTCAAGTAACAAAGAAACTAAAGATGACAGAAGTAGTAAATGCACAAAAGTCTTGACACAGGATGAAGATAATTTTTAGTGCTACCAGTCTCACAGTACCAGACTGTGCAGATTGTTCATTGCTCCAGTAGTTCAAAACATAAAAAGAGGCCTATTGGCCTGGAAGGGTTCATACTTCTAGCTCTTGATCCTGTTTGTCTGAACATTACCTCAGACAGCAAAAGCCACGTATAGTTTAATATATTTCTATGACATGTTTGTTTCCTGAAAAAAGAAATAAACAAAAGTACAGTTTTTAAAGGCTTGACTTGGTGTTCTGTCATACAGACGTTTCCAAACCTGACCCACTGTAGCGGTAGCCTGCACTGGAAGGGCAATGCTTATTTGAATAGCCAAAGACAGATGGAAGTACTGAATAATCAACGCCTCTCCAGTGCGTAAACATCATTTTTTTAGAATGAGAATTAGACCTTCTTGCTGGGGAATTGCTGCAGTCACTGCTCCTGTATCTTGGGCTTTTCAGACAGGCAAGAGGTGTGAATTCCGAGATGTGCTCCCGACACTGCCTCGATGCATTCTGTTAAAAGGAAAAAAGACCAAATACACAGTAAATAGATGATTTTGGAGCTAAAAGTCTACAATTGTGTTCTTTCATAGGGCCATTGTGCCCTTAGTATAATAATGCCTTTCACTAAATCAACACTCTGGCTATTTGTTTCACGTAAAGGTGTAATCCCTCATGTTGTTGAGCAATCAACCACTTTCAACATGATTAGTTTTATATTAAGACCTACAGAATAGGTACATAATTTTACATATAATCTCTAAAGCTGATAATGGGCTCTTTAGAGAACAGATGAGGACACAGAGGACTGCTTTCAAGTGGAATTGGTTTAAATCAGGTTTATATTTCATTTTGCAATATCTCCTGGTACATCTTTTTATCTCAGAACTTTTTTAATCAGGATTTCTTAGGGGGAAGTTTAAAACAGAACAGATTCAAGTACTTTGCCCTGTGCTTCCAAAGAGAGGGAATTCTTTACAGTCGGTTTGTGCTAATAGTTTCAGAGGTTTAATGCACTTGTTTTGTACTTCTAAGCAGTATCTGATTTTGGCCTTGATTAGGTTACATGTAGCATCTATTTATACTATACAGGCAATTTATACTACACATCACAATACTATCTTGGTCTAATTGTCCATTAAAATTTATCTGTACCACATAATCACTCCACACACTGGCAGAATCGGTACTTCCACTCAGGAAATACTCAGGACTACAGTAACACCCTGGTGCCATGACAAGACCCTGGAAGGTGCGCACAAACTAAAAGAAAATTAGCACAGCGCTTTCCCCAACAAGTTTATCTCATTCTTCTCACTAAATGCACATATAATTTCCAAGTATAGAGGCACAGAGGTTATGTGACAGTATTTAACGCATTATAAGCATGATTCAAATCAGCGTTATAAATCACTCTCTCCATGAATACTAGATAAGCCAGTTAATCCTTTATTCTTAATCATCCCCTTCCTCCTTCCCTGTTAACATCAACACAATAGCAAAAGGGATGAAATCACAAAATAAATATTAATGATGTAGCTTATAGACATTTGACTGAGATTTAATATTACACTTTTAATGCCAATCATAAGCTTGAAACACTACTCTTGCATAACCAAGAGCAATCAGAAAGCTCTCTTACAACAGTTACTCTTGGAAAAGTCAGCAAACTATACCAAACTGCTCACTAAAGTGAGGCCTGCATTCTTTTAAACACACATGTAGACCAAATACCAACATTAATACAGGAAAATGTAGATAATCAGCTAACAGATTAGCAGACTTTGTTTTGGAAATGTTGGCGCGACTAGTCATACACTGTATGGTAACTGTTTTTCCTCTCCTTCCAGCTAGAAAGTGAAGTATTGTAGTTACCATACATATTTCTAAAAATAGAATAATTTTTTTTCTACACTCCAAGGCAAGCGCTTTCTATCTGCCATGCCTGAAGCTACTCAAGAAAGCTGGGGTTTTCTACTACTACTTGTCTAGCAGTCACTAAAAGTAAACCAAAAGCACCCCTCAACTACCTTTAAGCCCTACAGCCCACACCAGCACATTACATTGCATTTGCCTTCTTCACATATTGGTACTTTGCACCTTCACCTAGTTCCTCATGTTCTGCTTTTGGGGTCAGGAGAGCATGAAGGGACTGGAGCAGATATGGCATCCAGGTGGGAATATATCTGAGTAAAAAGTATACCTTCTTACTTATACATGTTAGTGGTATGGCAAGGAGATGATGTAAAGCAGAGAACTTCATTCTGCTGCCCTAATGTTTTCAGGAATTGGGAGCTCACCACTCATGCTGCTGTCTCAGGTATTCGGCAAGACTAGCACGCTTCTCTCTTGATCCGAGGCAGCGATGCACCTTTCTATACAGAACACATGACTATGGTAAATACTGTCAAATATACAGCCCCAGTCTCCTGGCCCAAGGTCCTATTCACAAGTAACTCACTTCCTTTTGTATGGTTATCTTCCTGTTTTACCGTCTGCATTTGGTCTATATATGTATTCAAGAGCATGACAGACGATGGATATACTGTTAATGTGTGAGAGTTACTTCTGACTTTATGTATTCTACACCACGGTGTAATATGAGTACACTCTGCAGTAACGACTGCAGTTCTTCTAGAAGAAATGTCACACAACACCTATACATAACACAATGCATTTATAGGACTTTAATATGGGTATATTGATACATTGTTTTACCTTACATGATTAAGTGTCTTGAGACAAAAAGATCTTACCTGTAGCATGGAACATCTCTTGCAAAAACTAGGCTCTCCAAGTAAAACATAATAATTTTGTATCAATATTGATACAGTACATCAAAAACTCTGGAGGAAACAGTTGATTTGTAAATAGCACAGTTCACCAATAGAAATTAACCCAAACTGGCAACACGTACAGTACTGTTTGTTACCTAGCTTTGATCTAATTATGGCTCGGAAGCTGAAAGATTTCCTTCAAGAAGTGGCCCATCGCTGTTCGCCAGTGCATTTAGGGCTGTTTTATGTCTCATACTCTTCTGCAAGGATGAGGAAAAACAGTGAGACTCTTGCTGAATACAAGAGGGAAATGTGAATGAATTGTACCATTTGGTACAAATGTAACTACTGTAGCAAAGTCCTGTAAAAGTGATGGATTTTCTGATAGATTTAAAAAGGAGAGGTTATCCAGTGTAAAACAAGGTTTCTATTTCTTGATCCTGAGGTTAATCCTTTGAGCCACTCTGAGGATATTTTTAACTCCATTTCAAACTTTGTTAAAAATACTTAATTACTCTCAAAAGCACTTAAACCGTACCACGACTAAGTACCGTGGGCTGCGTGTCCTGCCCCTCTGACAATAACCTGTACCGAATGGGAGAGGTCCCCATGATATGCTGAGGCCGAATCGATTCCAAATCAAGGCGCGGACGTCCCGCTTTGCTACTCCCCAGGACAACTGGTACACTGAAGGGAGCGCTACAAACGGAGGTGGTGGGGCCAGGCGAATGAAGGCCGACTTGCGGCTTAGTCATTACACCACGGGGAGAGAGGGCAGGGGAGTTACCAAGGTAACTTCTTCCATGGAATTCAAATACTGCAACAAGAAGATCCATTTCTTTGTTTTCCATAGAAGAGGAGCCCAACACATGACAAAGGCAACAGTTTGCTGGTAACCAGTTTTCTAAGAGCGCTGTGCAGCTGTTCAACAGCAGCTAAGACCACTGAGGAACAGAAGAATGATGAATCCCCAGAGAGGCTTCCCCAGGAAAAAGCACCACTTTGGGTTTCCCCAAGCACAGCGAAGGGTAGAGATCTCGTAACGAGGCTGATGGGCCAATCTTGTAACTGAAGTGAAAGTGAAGAAAAAAACCATCAGTCAGAAGCGAAGAGAAAAAGAAAAATATGTCTTAAAAAGGGATGAAAGCACAGAAGTTATTTACAGCTCAGAATCAAAACACCTGGCATTTCAGCTACAAAATATTTGGGATTGCTGAAACACGGTCAATCGAAGTGACAATTATAAAAAGGAAAAGAGGATAATTTAAAGTGAATTTGTATTTTCCATAACAGAGCTGCCACGCTTCTGCTATTAATGAGAGAAGAATAAAGAAAAAGGAAATATAATCAATTAATGGTAGATTGGATATATTAAAAAAATACCCTATTGCTTTTTAAAAGTAAAGGCTGAAAGAAACCTCACAGCTGCACAATTTCCAGTTAAAGCACAAAAATTCAGCTTGTTTCACTGAGCCAAAGAGTCACTGGGACTACATGTATAAGAAACGAGCAGATTTTGACCAAAATTACCAAAAGGCAACAGATTCCTCCAAAGCTTTTGCAGAATTAATGTTTTAGCCCAAGACAGACAACAGATCATACGCGCATGTATATATATATAAATATACATTCACATATCTATACATGTATTTTTATGTACATATATGTATGTGTATACACACATATGTATATGTCTGTGTGTGTGTGTGTGTGTGTGTATCTATATCACTGAAAAGCTCTTTCAAAAAAACCCAGAACTATATCTGGAATGTTTAAAAACCTCTGAATGATAATGATGGTAAATCACCCACCACACATTGGAGTGACTCTCAAATAAGTGAAAAATTTAGAAGCATAAGAATTGCTTCAAAGGCTTTATGCACTCTTATTGCCTGAGGAGAACTAATTTAGTAACCTGGGAGGTGGCTGCTAGTTCTGTTTAATCTTTTTAACTGTTCCAGAAGCCCTTTTATTATAAAGAAAGCAATATAGCTTATAGGAATGCAGTAAGTTTAAAAATAGTTGTTTAAAAGCTCAGTTCAAACCAATCCTAAGGCACTTAAAAGCCAATTTTAGCCAGAATTTTCGATAGTGAAAAAAACCTTGTGTATTTTCCCTGTGACTTATGTAATTACAGTCATTTTTATTGACTATGTATTTTTGGAGGGGGAAAGAAGGAGGAAATGTATTTTTTATCTTAACCGGTTAAGAAATAAAGATATAAAATCTGCAATGGAAACCAACAGTCTCTGAGTATTAAGTCAAAAGGAGTTTTCTTGCTGACTGTCGGGAAGCTAAGATTTACTAGCATTTATATTAAATTAAATGTCATATATTTCTGGATATTGAGCTGTTTTCTTTCTAGAAAGAGCACAGAATTTCATAAAATGGAGTATAAGGAAAGCTGAGTTTGAAAATGCATGCTGGAAATAACTTATTAATAAAAAAGTTGCATTTTCTCCTATCACAGCAGAGCAGATGTATTAATATATTCCAAATATCGCTTAAATGACTTCCAGTACCACATTTTCTGTATTACGCTAGTAACATCAGCATAATCAGAGTTATCACTTCTTTGTGTGGCAACTATTCTATGTACTCAGGTACAATGCAAACATGACATGCATTCACCTACAGATACACCAATGATTAAAATGGGGATCTAAGAATCCTAGATTCTTGAGGCAGAAACTTTATGTAAAATTCAGTAACAACAGTGACAAAAGTGATAGTAACAGATTGTGACAATGATTCATAGACTCTTTAAGATAAAACAAACAGAAGAAGGAAAAAACTACACTAAAAAGTATTCTTCTTCAAAATATAGTTGACGTGAATCAGAAATGGAGATAATGAGTACAGTAAATAACTTCTGATGATAAACTTTTTACTGTCCTTTGAATGAAATGGCCAAGCATGCAGAAAGGCAGAAAAAAGTCACCTTTTGTTCCATTAGAAACTTAGACTGCTTGAAGTCTGAGAAAGCATAAAGATGGTGGACTGCTCAACAGAAAGGCACTGATGTTTAGTCTGATTTCCCCAGAAGATTGTAGGAAGCAACCGTGCACATCATTTATGTTTAAAGCAAGGTAGCAGTTATTTAGACAAAACGGATTGGAAGACAGGAAGAAACAAAGAGAGGGAAGAAGAAACACAAGGGATATATCTGGTTAAAAGTCAAAGATTTTCTACTAAATATTAAAAAATGAATATTGCCTGTGTTAAGCCCAAAGTCTGCTTTACAATTGATTTGTTTTCCAGCACTAACATACAATGTCTGTAAGAAATGCGGTAATACCTTTGTTTGGGGCTTTTGTTTGCTAGCTTGTTTCTTTGCATTAACCCATCCTCATTCTCTCTCTTTAGACTTTTAAATTAAGCATGCAGAGCCTATACTGAGATCAACTTCTTCCACAAGTAGCATATATGGCAGAGAGACATATATTAAAGGTATCGAAACAGAAAAACGCTAAATGCTGATCTGCCTGGGCAATGCTTTTCTGCTCCTCTTTATTCTTTCCTGTCCTCCTGAACTGGGGCATTTTCACAACTGTACGTTCAAGGAATACCAAACAGTGGCAAGGGGTTTTACTTTGCAGATATGAGAGAAGAATTTTTTACCTTTGCCAAAGGGGAAATTTTACTTTCCTTGGAAGTAAAGTTCCTTTATTCCTTTCCTCTTAATGCAAAGTATCTTCTCAAATAAACATCAAAATGCTAACTAATCCCTACACACAAAATTGCTGGTAACTCATTATTTTAACCTATCAGTGGTGGTTGATGGGCTGAAAAGGGCAAGGGCAATAACATTAAGTTTCACGTTCAACACCTCTACTGTCCTTCACCTTCTAACATACGTAATATATGAAAGTTTGTTGGGGTCAAAAATACAGGTAAAATTTTCTGTTGGGGCTGGTTTGATGGCCCCAGAATAGCACCATGCATCCCACAGAACCTGGCTTCCCTTTCAGCCTCAGGAGAGCAAGTCTTTATTTACACAATAGTTTCTCCTTTTTGGCTTATCAGAAGAGAGGTGACAATAGATTTTAAAATACTCTTCCCATTGGCAAAGCAAGGCACATTTATGTAGAGATAATGTATTGTAACAGGCAAAATGTAATTTGAAATATAAAAGAGGAAATAATTATTAATAGAATATGAATAAGTTTTAAGAGAGGTGTTTTTGTAACAGGCACAGCATCAGTATGAAATAGTTTGCTAAGGAAGTATTACATTGCATAGATCATGCAATATGAATGTTAGCATGAGTTTACTACATATTCCTTACCAACATACTATATATTCATCACATTTATTTTAAGTGTGTAAATTCTAGATTTATTCAATAATAAACACACATACAGTTGTAGAGTCCCTTGGTATAGGATTGCAACTGCTTGTGCAAATCCCTACTTTAAAGGGGATTTCACATGCTCCCTTCCTACCGATTTTATTTTGAGCTTAGCTTATTTTAGCTGGTTTTCCATTTTAGATAATTATGCTCAGCTTGCACGGTAAATGCTAAAATGTCCACATTAGAGTTTCATTTATGCAGTAGAATGACTTGGTATGAAAGATAATTACTTCAATTCAGGGGTGTGGGCAGTGCCTCTGAATACTCCACAACAGCAGGAACAACTGCTGTCCAGGCTGATGTTAAGTGCCTCCTACCTACCCTCACCAAGATCCCAATCCCCTTACCCTTCTTATCTCCTCAAATCAGGACTCATGTAGAGCCATATAGCTGTCTCCCACCATCCTCATCAGCTGATTTCCCTGTGGTTGCTGGTAGGGAGGCACAGGGGTTGCCCCAGGGTTCAGGTAAATACACCATGTAAATAATCAGCAGCTTCTTTCACCATACCACTCAGAAGTGGCTGGTATACAACCAGTGATATACACCATAGGTGGGGAACCTCTGTTCTAATCTTGTCTCTAAGCTTGGAAGGGTCTAATTATTAAAGACTTGTGATACAAAAAACTAACTTCGCAATGAAAAACATTTTTACCTGGATTCTTTCTGTTGCTGTAGGCCACAACTGCCTGCATAAGACCTTCTTGAGAACATCTGGAAGAAGGCTGACAGTTATGAGCAGAATTATACCCAGCCATGCAGGACCACTAGACAGCATTTGCATGAACACATAATACATCCTCTGATAATTGAGAAAAGGCCTAGTAGGAAAAAGATTAAATAGATATTACACTTCAATACACAAAAGAAAGACTGGCAATGTTAAACATAAAAAATTATGACAGTGATGAAATACTTCAGGTTCAACTTCCCAGTTTGCAGGAGTTCATCCATCCCAGTTTTCTCAAAAGGAGATCTAAACATGTGCTGACTAGAGAGAACTACTTTCCTCTTGTCTTCCAGGCTGCAGGAAATACCATGCTGTCCTCCCTCCCATGCTGCCTCTCCCTCGCAAAGATAAACTAAGTTACGTTCTTATCCTGTTTATGCTCTTCCATCTACTCCTTATCTTGCCCCAGTTATTTTCCACCTTTCTTCTCAGTGTCCCACCCATCACTTCCCTCCTCTTTCCCAACACACACTCATTTGTATGTAACCTCAGAGTAAGGCTCATGGACCACACCTTTTTTCATACCCCTCAAGCTCCTCTAAGCATCTCTGACAGTTTCATGTTATGCTCCCTAATCTATTCACCACATTTTTTTGCGCCCCTACTTTCACTGCCTTCACTTCCATGTATCTCCATGGCAGTTGTCTGGTCATTAAAATGCCATCACTGTACAGTAATGGGAACCAGAGGCCATGTTTACTGAGAGCAAAGATCAACGGACAGTTTGTAGTAACACTGCAATGTAAAGCCCTCCAACCAGTAGGGCAGTTTCCTCCTAGTTTCTAAAATTTGATAGAAGTCTTTGCATTCTAGAAAGGTAATTAAGTTAAAATACTGCTGCATGTAAATAGTCACAGCTCTAATACACAGCAAGGCTGGCTGGAAAACATGAGCGGGGAAAATGTTACTTCTGCAAACTGTTTTCATTCTAATGCTGAAGAAACTGAGATCTGATCTTACTGAAAAAAAGAGGAGGCTACTGAATATCCAAGGAGTTGACAGATGGTTACTCATTTGCAAAGGACACATTGAAATACAAATCCTTACTCCAAATTAAATGGCACCTTAATCACCATGCAACAGCTAGGCTCTGCTTTCTCTCAAAATGTTTACTTATGTATTCAGAGTAGAACAGTTCCAGCAGAAGAGGTTAGAGAAGATAACCTTGTAACTGGGCACTCTACAGGTGAGAAACACAAATTCAAGTTCTTGATGGCAATCAGCCATAGTAAGAACTTGAACCTATTTCAACTTGATCTCCTTCCCAAAAATTTCAGTTTGAAGTACACAGAATTTTTTAATAGAGAAAAAACCCCCGCTACTTTCAATCAGCTACGTACAAGAGTTACACTAATTCTTAAAAAGCTTCTTGCCAACAGCAGAACAACTAGGTGCTCAGAGATCTACAGTAAATCGACTTTGCTAAATAAGGGGGCAAATAATGAGCTCAAACACAGGACTCCCAGTCATTCACACAACTTTAATGTTAGTTCCACTCCCCGGCCCTAGTTTAGACTGCTACAGCTAGTTCCCTCCAAGACAAGCCGAGTAGATGGGTGGCTAGCCCCAGGCTGCATAGACCTGACCTACTCTGTGACGTTTTGCCTCAGATAGACATCCTCAGCTACTTGAACCAACCCTTGGACTGCTTTTGACTGATTCCACTGAGATAGCCCCAGTGGCAGGCTGAGGTCTGATATTCTACTCTTCACAGTCTTCTCTTAAGAATATTTTAGCAGCCATTCAGTGAAAGAAGAGCTGAGCATTCTGTAATTACCATTACTGATGGGTTTAAAATGTGACTAATATTGGGAGTTCTGCAATACATAAAAGCTAAATTTAATTCTGTTTGGGACAAAAAAAAACCCCAACAACTTTATCACAACTGTTTCTGAAATAACATTTGCGATGCAATTTATATTAGGGTTCATACCAAATAATTCCTCCCCAGAGCAGAGAAAAGATAATGTAGAATACCAGTGATCCCCAGATCATGAAGTGATTTATCCACGTCCAATAGTGTGTATCTAGTGCAAGCTGAAAAAAAACCAAACGAGATTATATGGTGTTATTACTATCTATCAGCAACAGAATACTCAGCAGGAGATGAAATAAAATTACACCCTTTGAAAAATGGGAAGGATTTTACACAGAATTAACTAAAAAACGTTTTTCAATTTTGAGCACAGTTAAGATGGCACAAATAGCAAAATCTGTATTTAAACTAATTTAAATCTGTATTTAAACTAATTTAAACTAATACGACAATGTATGGTCGTAGAGGGAAACCGATACAAGTAAGCAGCAATTAGAAAACAAGCTCTAAGAAAGTTTCAATGGATAAAATACAGCATACCTTACCTTCAATGTAACCGTGAATACAAGCACAGTAAACACCAGTGTTCCAAAGGTCCAGTTTCCAAACATCTATAAAAAACGGTCCAAAGTAGGTAATAGGTAATATCGTCCACTACTTTGTGAATTGTCCAGAATAAACCTCTTAAAGCTATGTATTGCTTTATATCAGGAACTGACACTCAAGCTTAACAACACTGAATTCTTACATGATTTATCCAGTGCAAATTGTTTTGGTTTCTCGCCCTTGTGTGTACACACCTCAGATTTCATAGAGACAGGAAAAAAACACAATCAATGCACTCAACCCAAAGTTCACAGGTATGTTTCTTAATAAAAATTAAGCGTAGCGCAGTTAACAAATCACTGACATTTACAAACGAACTGCAGTTAATTTCATCAATCTTCTTGGATCTTTTCTCTGATCTCCCTTCTCTGCTGTCCTTGGTGTCCCACAATTTCTTGGAGGCTCAACAGCATGTTTTACAGACGAGTAACAGTACAAGAAAGGATGTGATAACCATGAAAGCCATATTAAGTACATAAATGTTCTACATACATTTTAAGATAAAACACTTTTGAATTGTGGTTGATTTTCTCCTCATCTGCATAATGAAATAAAAACACTTTAGCTTTTCAAGGGGGCAGAAATGATCATTAACTCTGATGGGGGGAAGAACTGGTGCTGAATATGATCACAGAGGATTGCTTGGACTGCAGCAGCTATGAGATGACCAAGTTTAGGATCCAGAGAAATGCTGGGAAAGTAAGCAACAGTTAGGACACTCTATTTTAGAAGAGACTTTATTTTATTCAGGGCATTGCACTCATCAAAGAGAAGGGTGCCCAAGAGAGCTGAATGATTTTGAAAGAGAAAACTGCTGAGATCTCATGAACTGTCTTCTCAGGAAGACATGAAATTTCAGCAGAAGACCCAGTTAGCCACGCAGGATGTTTCTCAATGAACAAAAAGGCAAAATGGGAGCGTATAAGAGATGACAATATGGGCAGGCAGCAAACAGCTAGCATAAAAGCATTACTTGGGTACAGAGGAACAAAATCACACAAAGTCCAGCTCGAGCTAAGATTAGTGAGGGGTGTTGAGGGTGACAAAAAGGATATTTACAGGTATCCTTGTTTCAAAGGGCAAATGTAAGTCCACTGATGGAGTGGTAAGACAACCTAGTGGAAGCTGTTAAAAGAAAATGCTGAAGTATTCAATACTCTGGATATTAGTCTACACGAGCAAAACCTGCTCCTTGCATTTAACAGCAAAGCTTGGGAAGGAAAGCAGCCAACAGCTGGGAGCAACAGGTTAAGGAGTTGTTAAGGAGGGAGAGCAGTGGATGCAATCTATTTTGAATTTAGCAAGGCATTTGACACTTGACTCGGACAGCATTCTCGTTTGGAAGATAAGGAAGCAGCGGGTGGGTAAATGGACTACTACTTAAGTTGAAAACTGGCTGAACCACTGGACTCAAAAGTTTAGTGATCAATGTCCTTGACGTTTGGGTGGCTGTTGGTAATCAGTGAACTACACCAGGGACTGATACTGCTGAATATCTCTGTCAGTGGCCTGGATGGTGACACAGAGAGCATCATGAGCCAATTGCCAGGTGATACAAAAACAGAGAATAGCTGACATAATGAATGGCAGAGTTTCAATTCAGAGGGACCTCCACTGGTTTGAGAAGTGGGCTAACAGATATCTTATGAAATTAAATAAGGAAAAGTGCAAAGTTTTACACCCATGGAGGAGTAACGCCATATATTGGAACTGACTGGCTAAGCAATGGCCCTGCTGAAAAGGAAGTTACAGCGGGGTTACAGTGGACTCCAGGTTGAATACAAGCCTATAGTGTGTTCTCTCTATACATAAGGGAAACTGCAAACTGAGCTGTGTTGGGAGGAACATGGCCACTGAAGAAAGGTTATTACTCCCATCTACTCAGCTATAGTGAGGTTGAACCTGGAACACCATGCCCAGTTTTGGGCTCCTCAGTTCAGGAGGGATGTGAAAAAAATTAGAAAGGATCAAGTGGAAGGCAACCAAGGTAGTTAGAAGTCTATAGCTCTCCTGTGAGGAAAGGTTGAAGGACTTATTTAGTCTGGTGGAGGGGAGGTTAAGGAACAACCTAGTAGCTGCCCACAAATATTTGAAGAACAATTACAAAGATGAACTGGAACAGACCTCTCCTCAGCAACAAGAAAAATTCTGCTTAGGTATTAGGAGAAATTTTTTCCCCAAGAAGGCAGAAAAACATTGGAACAGGTTGCCCAAGAAGGTTATGGAATCTCCATCCTCAGGGATATTCAAAACTTGAAGAAGACTAGACAAAGCCTTGAGCAACTGCACAAAGCAGGGAGTTGAAGTGGATCACCTCCAGGGTCCCTTCCCATCTACATTACTCTGTATGAGCTCACCCAACATTAGATGACAGGGATCCACATGGGCAAGTGATCACACAAATGTGCTTCTGTGGGGAAAACTCTGAATGGAGACCACAGCCAGCCACAAGACAGAAATCTGTAAGAAACTAGGCTGAGATAATCTGATCCACTGGGAACAGAAAATCATTTAAAAAATAAACAAATGATTGGCTGAAAGATTTAGTATTCTGAGTAACCATTTCATTATTTTAAAATTACTCAATGTGTGACCAAGTGTACAGAACACAAGATGAAGTGCAGAAAACCTTCAGCATTTTGACCTTTTACTTTGATGGGTAATATAACAATTTTTTAGGGTCATGCCATTGCTACAATATTTTGTGTACCGTAAAAAAAATCAGTTCAGTTAAAACTGGACAGGAATCTGGTTCAGGAACTTCAAATTATGCCGTGTACTGACTTTCTTCTTGCAGTTAAAATTTTACAATACTCTTATGTCATATCTGGCATCTCTGAGAAAGCCTAGTGTCAGTCTAAGTTTCTGCATACTGAACAGCTGTGTCCGTATTTCCAATAAAAGCTGCTATATTAAATAAAAAAGTTGAAACAACCTTCCCCTGTCTCTGTCAGGCTAGATAGAAAGCATCAGGCTGCAACCAAACCCTTCACTAACCCATCTTTTTGGCTCAGAAAATGAGGTCATAGCGCAGGGACACCAGACTGCATAAGGGGCTGCTAATTTGGCACAAAGAAAGGTAAGCAATATGGATGGTGTGAGTTACAAAAACTCGCAATGTATTTTCAGCATTGACTATCTCAAGATACTACTCCTGTCTTCAGGCTGTGAATCATTCTTTTGTAAGTCTGTTTGTTAACATCTAGTTTATTAACAAATATTTTTCTATGCTCTGCTCCCAGCCTACCCAAGACTTCCCCTCCTCCTCCTGCGACTGTATTTGTTGTCTTCCATGTTCCAATTCATCATTCTACTCACCTCTCTTCCTTCCTGCTGTTTTGTATTTCCCATTCTATTATTCCTGTTAACTTAGTTTCTCCTACCTATCTCTGAACCCAGCTTAACAATTATATTTAATCCACTCCGCATCAAATAAAAAAATCACACAGGAAATACATTTTATTATATGGGTAAACTAAGATGACATTTACAATCTGCAGTTGTTTCTATGGTGCCTTCTTCTCTTCTTACCTTCCTTATGTAGTTGGTCTCTGACTATATGTTTTTACAATACCAATAACAATTAATAAGAGATAAATCTTTGGCATCTTAGTTTTGTTTACCAGGAAATGACTGAGGCAGGCATTTATGAAATAAATCTCAGCGATTAAAAGTACAATTTTCCATTATTCTAGTAACATCACTCTACAGCATGCAAACAGTTTCAAACAAATTTCTAAATACTGAGAAACATCCTGGGGAGATTATGTTTGGAAGCAAGCTTAATGGTATGTAAATTTTAGTCTGACGCAGGCATCAATCTAAGTGAAAGACATTGACTTTTTTCACTTTTTACTAGTTTTGCAACTATGGTGATTAGTTCATTTCTGGTGGGAAAGAAGAATTCAAAATTTTTGCTTCAGCACCCATTTGAACCATTTGGAACCTAACTTGGATCATCTTATATAATTTATAGTATTAGTGTTACCTTCCGCCCTTTTTATTTCCTTTCCTGCTTTCTACCTTTTTCCTGTTCCATAATAACATATTGCTGCAGTAAACCTTTCAAATCTTCAAATCTTTCATTGACTTTTTCCAGACGTGAGCATAATTTAAATACTTGGAAATAACCATCAGCACCAACTAGCATTCATGTATGTATGAACTCACATATGTATCTCTGACTACTCCTGAACAGTAACATTTTCAAGCCTTTAAATCTAAAATTGCAACTCAAAATTTGTAGGTTTTATACATACACACAAGCATGCATGCTGAATGATGATGAATTTTCTAACCACTCTGACACTCAAGAGTCAGAATGTCTCATCAAGCAATACATTTTATCATCAAATATTAACATGCGTATCTAGTTTTAGACATACGCATTCAGAATTTGAAAATTAGGCACTAGTCTGGCTTTAGAGCTTTATCAAAAAGAATTTGATTTAATATGTGCAACAAAAGTAGACTAAAATTTCAAAAAGGAACCCAGTCAGAATATTTGCAATACAAACTGTTTACAAAATGTGTACAGGTATGAGAAGTCTAATTTTCAGGACTATAAATATAAGCAGAGTTTTGAACATCTAACAGACGTTCAAACAACATAATGGTACCAGAAAAAGAAGTGTTGCAGTGTACAGTTATGTCTAATGGAAATTCATTCTGCCCTTAGAAAAGCTCTAACAAGTGTTCTCTCACACATTAGAAGTTCATTTCCCTGATAGACATCACAAAGATGGTATTTAATGATATTTGAATATTGCATTTCTAGCAAACGTGTATGTTACATATAAGCAACAAAATTGTGCCCAGTTTATTTTCTCTCACTTTGAGGGTCTTTTCTAAAGCCATTCACGCACTTTATAGCATAAACTGTAATAAATTTTCTATAGCGGAGAGAGTCAGCAACAAAATGTAGGTCACAGAAAAGCACAGAACAAAATAAAAAACTCAAGGAAGCAAAAAGCCTACTTATTTTTTAAAGTTTATGGCTCTTTACCACACCACATATACCTTAATATACCTTATACTCCATATAAGTTCTTTATATTTTAAGTACTTATGAAGTAGCAATAAAGAACATTTCTATCTACAGGTTTAAGTGATATTTTGAAATAACTATAGGAAATACTTAACTGCTCTTTAACAATTTAATTAAAGAACAGTGAAAGATGAAATGGGTATCATGACAAATCCACAATAGTCTTACCATGTGAGTGCTGGTTGTCATTAGCTGAGGATAGGAAGAGAAGCAAGTAGCAAAAAGAAAAAAAAGCACACAAATAAAATAGACCAAAACATCAATGGATAAAATAAATAAAATGCAAAAGTTCTTGAAATTTGCATTCACGTGACTGCAAAGCAAGTAAAGATAGATTATTTTATGCTGCCATATGTAAAAAATAATTAAAATATTAAAAAGCTTGTTACATTTAAGCTCTTTTATGATCATTCGTAACTACTCTACCAAGAGTCTTTTGATATGTTAATCAAATATTCATCAGATGCATGTTAAGCACAAAACAGAAAAGTTACTATGTAAATTCTGAAAGAATACTTGGAATTTACGATATATATTTCTCCTAAGTTGTATCTAGTCCTATGCCTCTGTTCACTGATACACAGAATTCCTATTGCATAGTTCAGACTTTGCTAAGCAGATAACCCATCTGTCTTACCATAACTCATAAAACAGTTATCATCTGTGCTGGAAATCTTGAAGAAAACAATTAAAACTATGTTCATAGCACACTAGACATTAAAAAAATTACCTTTGATTAACTGATCAAATCCAACACTAACCTGTCCATTGCTGGTCACAATTGTGTTGTCAAACAAGAAATAGGCACCAAAGAAAAATACCACAGCATCAAACACTCCTAGGAATGTCCAATAAATAAATGCACGCCAGCGCAGCAAAGCATTCTTGGCAACATCTCTGTGTAAAACAAGATATATGCATTCATTATCAGCACGTTCAAAAAGCTTAGACAAATGATGTCACTCATACTGGTTTTTGAAGGAAAAACAATTAAGAGATTGCATGCAAAATGACCACATTTCCACATGACAACTGTCTACCACTTCACATCCAAATCCTTCCTGAACATCTCCTCTTTATTTTTTTTTACTTAATTTTTACTAAACCCGTTTAACTGCTGCCTGTAATTCCGCTTATTTCAACTGTATGGTAAATTCCCCTGTGCTGCACCCATTTACTTTTCAATCTTTTTATAGAAGATACCTTTCTTCCAGTATTTGCTGTGCATGTGATGATCCACTGTAGATTTTGAATGGAAACACTAGAGGTCTCTGGAGACTTTAGTTTATTTCCCATGGGGTACTTTTATACAGAAAATGGTAACAAACAATATATTAATTTTATGTGGAACATGTGAAACAAGGATTTTGCAGTTGAGTTGAAGCTTCAGGTCACATTGGATTTCTTGAATGTTTTCCCACAAAAAATACAGGGATTGGTCAACAATAGGATGGTTCACTAGCATGCATTTTCTAATTACAAAAAAAAAAAAATTACAACTCCAGCTCTTGCCCACGGAATGAGTATATGTCAACTTGGCACATACCATAAAACACATCAGAGTAAATCAGAACACAACTAAATGAAAACCCTGAATTACAGAAACATTTACTACCAACCAATACTTTCACCACATGCACTTTAAAAATTGTCTGATGACCATATGAAGTCATTTTTCCCTGCAGATTACCAATATACAGTGCAAAACTGTATGTGGCTAACAGTAGCCTCACCTGGCCCAAAACAACTGCACTATTGCCCAAAACAGTTTAGTGATACTCTGTTAGATATTAAAAACCAAATGTTTTTGACTAAATAACCTCTGCTAGCTTTCAAAAATGAAAGATATTCTGAATGACCATTTCTAAACTGAAAACATTTAAAATACAGAAGAGAAAATAAAAATGGGGGGGTTGGGTTTCAACAGTAATATCTTGTATTCCTCTTCAATTTCATAGGTAAAAACATATCACTGCATTGATTAAACTTTGGGCATCTAATATTACCTTTCAAAAAATGTTTTCGCTTTGATTATTTACTGTTACCACTCTCTAAAATGTACTGGGTTTGCAGCTACAAGAATCAAAACTGGGCACTGTTCCTAATTTAGATGGCCACATGCAGTTAATTGGCAAGAACTATATTTCAAGTGGCTAAGAATCTAAACCAGTCACAATTTCAATGTACAGAAGTAAGTCAACAATATGCAGAGAACAATGTTGTACACCACACAGAATACATCCTATGATACAACACTCTACCACTCAGTTCTCTTTTCTTTCAGAATAAAACATGTATATAGAAGAAACAGTATGTTTTCTCTTTTTAAAATACTTCTGTTCCCCATGGCTGGAGGAAATAGGGAGTACTAAAATAAATCATATTTTGATTTGCAGAACAGTGATTTCTATTTTGCTCTCACTCACTAATGTAGCAAATAAATGGTGTGGATTGCAGTATGTAAATATACATGTAAAAATACATGTGTATCTATTGTAGTTTATAGACTGTGCATGTGGTCTTCAACCCTTCTGTTGCAGTGTATTTGGTGTTCTACTGCAACCTTGTACAGAAATCCTGAGGACTTTGGTTATAACAGAGATAGTTTCCACAATTGAACAGCCAAACTTTGGGCATAATGTATTACTTTTACCTGTATAGGGAAGGCTCTCTCTTGAGTGTGTCTGCACTGACATGTTGTTCCATTAGACCGTACAAGAGGATAGGAAGGGAAGTGAAGCTGATATTGTACAGTGTTAGATACGCAGTATCGTATAAAGTCTGTAGATGGAAAAGAATTAAATCGTCTAGTTTTAATTTTAAAACACGATCCACTGCATGACACTTGATTTAAAACGAATGAGTCAATTCTTCAGAAAAAAAACCTCCTATATCCCTTCACAATGGAGGCAAATATCCTTGACCAGTTGCTAACTGATATAAGACAACTCTGCAGTTGTACCCCATTCATCTGGAGGACAAAAGGTCAACTAAAAGATCAGTTTAATAGTCTGGTCTACATATCAGCCTCTCCTATCATTTCAACTGTAACACCAACTCCAAACTACCCAAACTGAACAACAGCAGATTCCTGTAGAGGCAGAAATGTCTTTCTGGCACATCCACCCCCGCTTTTCTCTCCTCCTTGTCTATATAACACGGAGACATGCAGGGAGGAAGGGGGAGTACTCCAGAGGTTCTTCAGCTGTGGGTGACTGCAATGTGTTGTACAAAGAAGCACCCCAACATGTCTTTGATTCTTCATCCCTCTGAACTACTTTTCCATGTATGTATCATCATTGTAACTAGCACTCAAACTTAGCACATCATCCCATAAAAAGAGTGGTTTATTTCCCAAAACCTATTTGGTGATCATTTATGCCATAAAAATTGCTGTCAAAACCCCCTTTTTGATTCAGAATTATATTTAGCACTTAAAAGAACAGGAAATTTTACAACTAAATTTTCATCAAGACATGCTTTCATATCTAAATCCTAATAACGCTTGATAAAAACCTACAAAGTTTTGAATGGTCATTTGAAATTAAAACCAAAACAGACCAAAAAAATAGTTCTGTCGTTTTTACTCCTCCTGGAGCTTTCTTTTGAGACATTCCACAAATTCAAAGTAACAGGACTATTTTCTCCCAATTAGATCCTCCTCTTGTTAAATTTAATCCTGAAAACTTAATCCTTTTTTTGTCTAAGTCCAGTCATTCATTCCTTTGGTTTTTTGGTCCCTCATTCAGAAGAAAGAAGAGGTAGATTTTTCTGCACAAATTAGACAAGAGCAAAGGGAAAAAAGCAAATAAACAAAAATTCAGAAAGGAGAATACTAGATCCTCTCCTGAATGATGGCACTTTTCTGGTGAGCAGCAGTTCACTTTTCCTCTATCTTTCAGTGTTTATTTTTCCTTTTCAACTAATTGAATGCTGCTATTTGTCTGAAGTTTGCAATTCACACCTGCTGTCCTGGTTTTGGCTGGGATAAGAGTTACTTTCTTCCTAGTAGCTGGTATAGTGCTGTGTTTTGGATTTAGTACAAGAATAATGTTGATTAACACACTGATGTTTTAGTTATTGCTAAGTAGTGTTTACACTGGTCAAGGACTTTTCAGCTTCCCATGCTCTGCCAGGTGCACAACAAGCTGGGAGGGAGCATAGCCACGACAGCTAACCCAACTGGCCAACGGGGTATTCCACACCATATGACGTCATGCCCAGTATATAAGCTGGGGGGTTGGCCAGGGAGGGGCAATCGCTGCTCAGGGACTGGCTAGGCATCGGTTAACAGGTGGTGGGCAACTGCATTGTGCATCACATATTTTGTATATTCTATCATCATCATCATCATCATTATTTTCCCCTCCTTTTCTGTTCTATTAAAACTGTTTTTATCTCAGTCCACGAATTTTACTTTTTTTTTTTTCCCGATTCTCTCCCCCATCGCACTGGGGGCGGGGGAGTGAGCAAGCGGCTGTGTGGTGTTTGGCTGCCTGCCGGGTTAAACCATAACACCTGCACACCCCATTTTCGTTCTGAATTCTAAAAATGAACAACTAATTCAATTACTTATCTTTCAGGATTGCCTCTCTCCATGTTCAGTAAGCTTAAACCTAACAGGCATTTCACTCCGCATTGCCATTTCCAAATTTTGGGTTCCTGTATTCTTTGACTTTGAAAATAAACATTGCTTTTATGATAATTCATTAAATTGATTTCTGTAACTTAACTGCAATTGCCACTGAAAGCCATATGAACCAAAAGTGATGCTCTTCTTTTTACAATGTGTAAACTAACCCAGAAATTTTCTCAGCTGAACAGGCACAGTGTTAAAGGCTCTATTTAAAAAAAAAAAAATGCCAAAGAGAAAATGTGGCAGTGAGGGAAAAAGAACAACTAACCTGTTGTGAAAACCCACAGAAGAACTGATATAAAAACTGAGGAAAAATGAAGCAGACATTCTGAAAGACAAAGTGACACAGTCAACAAGTGAAATATAAGCACTAATTTATATGCTGTACAATGCTATAGCTATGTATACCATAGTTTTATAAAACTAGTAATAGTAAACACTGGAGGAACAGTAGAAAGAGCTGCATACGTTAAACATCAACATTCTCATCTTACAGTAGTACTGTTAAGAGAAATACTTAAAATATTTTGGGAGCAAACTTATAAGGCTACAGTTTCAAAATTCAAGGGCAATGGATTTTGCGATCCAGGAGCACAGCTCATTTAAGGCAAGGCAAATAAGGTACAATCCACAGTAGGACACAAACTGTGATAAGCAAGCATGGATACTCTGGTTAGCATGGTTCCCAGCAAAGTAATTTTAAGATGTTTCTAGCTGTGACCCCAAACTTCATCCTCTCCTAACTATACATATAGTCCAACACTAAGACCTTGAATTATCTTCTGAAGGTTCCTTTCTATAATCTTCCATTGCTTACTGAAAGAACTTTGATTTAGACATAACAAAACTGTCTAAACAGGGGGATGCACATGATGAACTTTCTCCACCTACACTATCCTAATGAATTTAGAAACTAATGTAAATTAAGTTATGCTAAGTTCTCAAATACTATTTCCAACTTGATTTAAAAGGCCACTGTAGAGAGATCCCAGAAGGTACTGAAAATAAGTAGAACAGCCTGTGTTGGAATTTGTAAGAGGAGGAAAAAAAGACAAGGCAAATTTTGCTTTTAAACATACCACAGATTACTGAATATATCTATAGAAAAGCTATTTCACTTCATGGTCTGGATAAAAACAATAATCCCATTTCACCTTTGCATCTGGCACTTGACAAAATCTCTTTACGGACTTACTGCTTTTTTGTACCATTGACTGTGTAAACTGTATATAGATATCACCATGTAAGTTTTTGAGATTTATGTAATTAGAATAAACATTCTCCTACCTTATAAAAGAAGTATTGCACAAGTTCAGATATCCTAACATAATAAAAATGCCCATGAACAAGCAACATTTTTTTCAAATGTTTAAATTTAGGTATTGCATAGTCACTGTTTCTCGCTGCTTGACGACCTTCTTTGCCAATGATTCCTTTAAAAAAAAGTGATGAAGCTGTTTAATAACTGAAGAACTATTTCAAAGATACAATTATTTGAAACATTATATAATAATGCTATGACATTGATCTAATAAGAGATCACCACTGTATCTCTCAAAATTCCTGGAGTAAATTCACTAAAAGTTGTCTATAAAATGTATAACCTGATTCTTTGAGACTGCCTGTTTTTAAGAAGGAATGGTTTTTGTCATTTCACTTGAATTAATATTCTAAAAAGCACACTTACCTATACCAACATGTGCTTCTAGAATCATACTGACATCATTTGCTCCATCACCAATTGCTAATGTGATAGGATGCTCCTTCGATAACTTAATCAATTTTACAATCTGGAAAAAAATAGTGTTAAAAACTCTTCTCTGTAATGGTTTGCTTATTTAGCATGAGTGTACGATTAATTACAATGACCAACACAGTTATATAAGAAATTCTGTGAAGGGACACAAAACCAGTATTACCCAATGCAACTACTATGCATAAAGATCACAGTAGTTTCTTCATATTAAAAGTATTTGTTCCAAATTTAAAATAACATTTTTCAAATACTTCCAAACTATTTTGAGAGAGATGGACAGGAGGAAGAAAGAACAGAAGAAAGGAAGATGTTGTTGAGATTGCTTAATGCTGTGTAAGTGCATTAATAAATTAAAAGGGTTCCAGACACAGAGAGTACAATTTCAAAGAAATCCTGAAACTAAAGACTGAAAGATTCTTTCTTAACTGTGCTGAAATTTTTTCTTACTATTTAAGAAAAGGTAATAGGATTCTGTATATATCTAAACACTGTTGACATAGAAACTGTTCAAAAACTTGATTTCAAATCTCTCCATTATAAATGATCACCTCTGTAAATTCGGTAGTCAGCTGCAACTAAAAACTTGAACAAACTTCCAGACAGTTAAAAGTGCTGGCTAAATACATTTATTAAAATGAGTAAGGGCTATATATGCTGTACCTGAGCACTGAGAAAAAGACATGACAGTTTGAAAGGAAAAAAGAAGTGTATATTCCAATGTTTTTTTCCTTTAAAAGTTCTTCAGCTATATTAAGATATTTCAGTAACGGAAGAATATGTTTTTACTTAATACGAACTAGTATACAACAGTCAAGAAGTACTTAAAAATGATAATGCACACATTTTTATGTCTGGATTCTCCTTTCTTGGCTTCCCACTTATATTAAAAATAGAGAAGAAGTATCACTCTACAGTAATAAATAATGCAGGTTCTTGTAGTATCAACAGATAGTAGACTATTCAAAGCTTGTTAGGTTAAAAAGGAAGCAATTAGTTCAGTTCATTAAATATGTTCATTTATCAGCATGTACCAAGCATAAAATTTGCACAATATGTACATAAATCATATTCAGGTGCACAGCTGGATGCCATTTTAGCATACCATTATCTAAATTGCTTGCCAGTAGAAATCTTCCCCTCTCCCTTTTTTTTTTTTCTGCTTTTTCCATTTTAGAAGATACAAAAGTGAATGGTAACATATTAAGTTATCATAAGTGATACAGAATATTAACTTTCAATATTTACATGTGTGCACAGCATTTTTTTTTTACAAAATTACAAAATTAAATACAAACCTGTGCTTTTTGCAGAGGTGCCATTCGACAGCATAACACTGCACTGCAGTTCCTGCAGATTTCAAGAAAAAGCTCTCTGTAGTTACCAGAGCTCCCGTCTTGTCTTGGCTTCATTATTAATGATAATGCTGCTCCATCAATAATTAAACCATAATCTTGCATATCAGTTGAAAGTCTGTTCAGGGATAAAATATAAATGAAGAGTCACTGTAAAATTCTCAGACATATTTGAGATTTGACAATAGTTCTTCTGTGAAAATTAATTAATGAAAAAATAATGAGTATGGAATACTGCAAAATTAATATACTTCTAAAAGAAATTCCTTGTATAGGACTGCTATTTGTGACATTTTAAAATTCTAAATTATGTTGAAAACATTCAGTGCTTCACCAGTTCAAAGACAGAAATCTGATACCTCAGTAACTTCACCAGTGAGTATGAGTGTATAATTAATGACCTTTCAGTTTGGTTTGAAAGGGCTCCAAGAATTGCAGTGAGGTAAACTGAGTTGCAGGAAGAAAGTTAATTTTGCGGCACGTTCCATAATATAAAGAAAAAAGTTAAAGGAAAAGGCCTTTGGTACTCTGAAATCTACTTCGATGAAGAAAATAACCTTGTTTCTCAAGGGTCTACGTTTAAGGAAGTGAACCATGCTTTGAAGGAAATGCCTAAAAGAGACTTGTTGGCCTGGAGACATAAAGCCACTGCCTACATTTACAGTACGTATGCTTTGCGTTTAGTGTGGTGGCTAAGTCCAGTACAGGTATACCTGTAATTATAATACGATAATATAATTATTACATGTTATCTATAATATTACAATATAGTATTATGTATATTAATCTATTACAGGTATACCTGTAATAATTTGGATATTGCTAGAAGTGTAACCGTGGTTGCATGAAACACAGTTTACCACAATAAAATATTCTGAGCAATGGGGGAAGATGGTCCACACTGAGTGCCGCACTGTAAGAGAAGTTTTCTGCAGCATCCAAACCAGTTATTTCAGAGCACCCTTGCATTTGCCTACATTACACAGCAGCCTCAGGCTCCAGCTCAGCAGTGAGAGTTGTATAAACGTACAGTGAGGTTTATTTGTGCTCTAGTTTCAGTGCTCCAAGGTTATACTACTGTGCGTGGGTTTTCAACAAACATGGTTTCACCCGGACCAATGTTTGTGAGAAAAACACCACATTTATTAATATTAACGTATTTTAAGCTTCTCCATCTTCACTACTAGAACACAAGCTATTTTTGGTGAAGTGTAAAGTACTGTAAACTATATTTAATAACAGTTCACAGATATTTTCAGCACTTGTGTTACAGCACAAATAGGGCAACACCATTTGTATACAATTATATCAACCAAAAATGTATTAGTATGAAGTCCAGACAATATACTGAATGTTCGGATTTTCAGCCTGAATTTGAACATCCAGAATCCTGCTATTACTATCTTTGCACCTCTGGAGCCAATGACAAGAAATTCTGATTAGTCTTAATGTCTAGAAAATTGGCATTGCATAAAAAGTTAAACAAACATGTTTAAACATATGTTGTAAGACCTATGGGATTTAAGCTAAATGCAATATAGAGAAAGACGATTTATGTAACTGAATATACAAATGTTCTTGATTAGACCAATGGGGTTTAAAGTATAAGAGCTAAGAAAAATGCTCAGGCTGAGAGCTTCAAGCTGTAAGGCTAAGAGTTTTGGAAACTCTCTGCTAAAATATCACAAACAATTGTTAGCTTGTTGTTCCTTTACTACAAACTTACTGCAAATGCGTATAAAATGGACTTGCTAGCTGGTTCCATATTAAAAAGAAACACAAAGCAAACACACACCGTTATGTCTGGAATACAATAACTTCTTTTCTTAACATCATCTTAAGATGATAAAAATGTTTTAGAATCTAATTCTTAGGTTTTTACGGGGGAAAAAAGAGCAAGTAATGTGTACCAACTACTAAGCTTCAACAAGTGGCCTTATTTACTACCTGTATTTACATTATACGTGTTTTTTGCTTTTTAATGCCATTTTCTATCTTCTTCCATGTTATGTTTCAAGGAAATAACTTCTGTATACATGATACCTATCCTTCTTTGGATATTCAAAATACACAGAAGTCAATAGTTTCTTTATCATTTAGGGCACTTTAAGTATTTTTATGCACACCAGAAGATTTGGTACTATGCTGTTGCCTGTTACCCGTAAATATGGCATTATCTTCCCTCTAGAAATAGCTCAGTAGGGCCAAATATTGTTGCTCCCTGTGGCCTTGGTCTTATCAAGACAGTCACATCACGTACTAACTCTGATTACAGGAATAAATCATATCCGCTTCCTTTTTAAAAGTTAGAAACAGTATTTTGCTTTACTATCATTTTTGCCAAGAATAAATATTTTTGCAGTGGAAAAATATATAATTAAAATGTCAGTTGTGATTTTCTTTTAACAGTTAAAGCAGTACCAGTAATGAGACAGAGAAAGACCCATGACTGTGAAAATTCAAACTTACATAGAACAAACTTATACTTAATTGCCATATAATAATTCACACTTTAACAATATAAACTGAAACATAGTATGTTGCTGCTCTTAATCAATCATTTAATTGTTTATGAAATGCATGGAAGCCCATTCCTGGCTTAAGAATTCAACTTTTTCCTTACCCTGAGAAAGTATCCCTGGTTAAGCTGCCACTGTGTCTTAGGACAGTTTTGCTTAGGTCAAAAAGCACATCATGTAAACTCTGTTCCTCAATTTTCTTTGTGGTTAGCTCAAGTATTTGTGTATTTCTCCGGAACAGTTTGCAAGCATAGCAAGTAGCTGCAGCAGTCTCCATTTTGTCTCCTGTCAGAACCCAAACTTTAATTCCAGCTTTCTGGAGTGCTTCAATAGTGTCAGCAGCTTTTTCTTGCAGTCTGTGGAAGTCAATTGACAACATACATAGATAGATTGCTTGGAAATGAGAAATTCAGAGGTTCTTATTGAAAGGTTTCCATAACCAAATAAAAAATTTCCATAAAAGTTATCAGATCTAAGAATTTTCCCCAAGGTGTGAATCTAAAAATGTTTAGGGGAGTAGTACATTATAAATTGTTAGTTTTGACACTTTCGAAGGGCTTAAAGTTTCACCTTTTGTTTACATAGCCTAAAAGACAAGATGCTTCATTCTCCAGACAAGTAATTTAATTAAAAAATTTTCAGTGCTTTCAGCTAATGACATCAAACAGTGAAGTACTGCTGAGTTATTAAAGTTACCTCTCAGTTTTAACAGACAGTTTTTGAATTTTTTTTAAGACCTAAAGATTCATTTCTTCAATACCCATTTTGTAGTTCTTTCCTTCAAAACTTTTCCCTAAAATTTGTTAAATAAGGTATTACATGAACTACATGTAAATGGCTTGAGTGTACACTTAACTATTGTTATTAGCTTACTAAATTATAAAGTTACCATGTGTAACTTTAGTAAGCTAAGGGTATGGAATTGATTCAAATAAAGGGTTTTCAAATAAATCTCTAATCCAGAAAAAGAGTTGCAAGAAAGTCTTCAAGTACTTTGGTAACATCACTAAACATAAGAAACTAAGAAATGTACTAACCGATCTTCAACAGCTGTAGCACCAAGTAAAATAAAATCTCTTTCTATCTTCTCATACACTTCTGCTAATTTCTTTTCCCGGTCCTGGAGGGCCAGCTTTGCATTCTGAAGCAGCTTCTGTGCATTGCTGTATTCTTCTGCTGTGAGCTTTTTATATGCAACGCACAATGTTCGCAGTCCCTCCTAAAGAACGTAATCAAAAGAAACAAAATGCTCCTTAGAAAACTCTTCTTAGACTTCTTGCTGGTGTTTATGCTGAAATACTTGAAAAATTGGAATGATTTTACAATTAAGATGAAGAGTCCCACTACTCACTTTTATAGTGAAGCGAGTATAGTATAGACTAGTACAATATAGTCTAGACTAGAACATGAGTCAGCTTGATGCTATGCTGCCCTGGAAGCAGTTACAACCTGAGGGACAAACCTCAGTCCTCCAGAAGAGAAACAGCTCAGCCACCCACCTGGATGTATGAGATTACCAGGGAAAGGAAAGTCAAGGTAAAGGTTTCCTTCCCTATGTGTATAATTAGGCAGGATGAGTCAGAATAAATAACAATAACATAAATAGTAGCTCTGCAGTGTCTGATTTTGATGCTGTGTTGCAGCAGAGACAGGGACAAAACATCACAGAGAGTGTTGAAAGTGAAAATCCAACTGTGCCATTTCAGTCAAGTGAAAACTAGAACTTAGCTGTGGGTGTTTCACAGACTTTGGGAGTGTGATGAATAAGAAAGGGAGTATATAGACTGTGTAAGGTGGGAAAAAGCTGCTACAACCCAGAAAGGAAGTTTTGCCACCTCAAATATATTGCCTCTCACACCACCATTTAACTGGCACTTTATCTTCATAAATTTTAATCCAGTAGGTCTTTGCATAGTTACTTATTACCAATCCAAGAAGAAGAAGTATTAAAAAACCTCCCTGACTCTTGCTATTGATAAGGGCAGGTGCCAGGTAGCTGCCTGTATCTTCTTTCAGAAGCTTCTGTATGTAGGAGCCAGCCCTATTTTCCAATTATCCAAGATGAAGAAATAGCTCTTGGTCTGGATTTCTCTCTTGACAGACATTGGATGGATATGATATGTGAACACTTCTTCCAGTTTCACTAACCTCCTTCACTTGTAATTATCAGACAGCTGTTACATCTAGTAAAGCTTAGCAAAGCACTTTGGCAAAGAGTTTTGAAGTTTCCCTTCAAAACAAAAGCAGGTAACACTGTAGGTATTTTTTCACATACCTGTAATAATACTTTGTTTTCAGTTTGAGTACTGGGTATCAGCAAATTTTATCCTATCTGTAAGACTGGCAGTCATATTCCATTGCAATGGGTTCTGCATATTTTTGGCAGAATTCAGTATTTTACAACTCCAAATACTACCTTTTAGGTAAAATCAAGTTCTGAATTTCTTTTAAAGATGATCAGGCAGTTCATAGTTCATTTTTAGCAAGCAAAAATGTAAGTATAAGGATGATCACTGCACTGTTTCCTCATAAGAAGCACATTTGTTGCTACATTGTGCTCTAATGGATTTTCTCCTTTAAGAACTTGTAAAGCAACCAAAGGCAGCAAATCACAATTGCTAAGTCTGGGGACTGAAAGCAGGGATGAGATTTTCAGTGAAGTTTTTCACTTTTCTTTCATTCAAAAGTTAATTCAAACAACCACAGTTGTGAAAATGACATACTAAAAAGCTAATTGATGACCTCTGGTATAACACACTGTTGTGCATATCTAATGCATTTATATCTCACCACAACTGCCATTTGGAAGATGAGATGGAGGACAGATTCAAGTAAGGGAGTAACACAGACTGCTACCCATACAGCCTGTGTGCACTTCGGCATAAAATAATCTTGGTGCCTGGGAAGACAAATCTGTTACCAGATCAAGCAGGAGATAAGGACACTTGATTTTTTTTTTTACACTGATATCACATGAGCAGGTCAACAAAATGGAATCTTACCACTGCATTGCGTTCAACTCTGGATCGTATTTGGTCAACTTTGCCTTCTTTAACTCTAGGAAATATGGAAGAATCTGCTCCCTTACAAAACATAAATATATCACCTAAAAGAGACAGCATATGGAATTCAAAATGGCCAAATATATCCTTCTTCAAAAAAACATCCAAATTACTAAGTCTTCAAAAAGATTTATTCCAACTTTTTTATAACATTTGAACTCATGCTGGTACCTGGTCTCCCTTTTTATAAAGAAAGGCACACAGACTGTGATTAATGCTTAACTCTTCGATAAACCTGAAATAAATTCACGTGAAACAAAAACACTTAAGAAGAAACAGAATGTGACAGCCTTACCTGTTGAAGATTTAACAATTACACTCATTCGCCGTCTCACAGAATCAAAACTTAAAACCTCTAATAATTCAAACCTGAAACAGAATCAGAATATTTTTTAAACAATTCTGCTTTTCCAGATCCCTAAACTGGTTATTACGACTTCGAGCATATCAAATAAAACCTGACTTCTAACATGGAAAATTATGTCGAGTACTATGGAATATGGAACTAGTACAGAATGAAACAGCAGGTTACAAATAATAAATAAGGGAGGCCCTCAGCTCCTAATTACTTGAAAGAGAATTTGTCTGCATGATGTTCATAAGTATCTTTGGATATATAGTCAATATAATTTATTTAAGCAGAAGACTAGAAACCTTGCAGTAGAGCGCTGTGCTGCTTATAAAGTAAGTAAATTCCTACCTGTAATATCTAGGCATAGCCTTAGAACTTGAAATGCATAGGTGTTTACACAGAAGTCTTTATTTAATATTTTTCTAATTTTGACTATTCCTGTCTCCTGAAAGTGCCCACCTAATTTCATGAATCTTGCTCAAGTGTTGACTGACAAGTTATTCAAGTGAAAAAACATTTCTTTTTACTGGTTTTATATTCGCCATTGCTTTTATGATTTGATTTTATCCCATGTTCCTTTCCTTTCTAGCAGGAAAAATGAACACAAGCTCCTTTTGTACTGTTTCTGTATAACTCATCAGTTTATATACTTTTATCATTTACTCTCTTACCTATTTCCTTTTATCTAAGAGACCCCCCCCCCTTTTTCCAGCATAAACATAAGCATCCCGATCATTAATCCCATTTTTTTCAGGATTCATCTGTTAATATTTTTCTTATAAAATAGATCTGCTTATTTAATTAGATGATTCAGTTCTAAGTCCTTACAACAGCCCGGGATTCAAACCTGTGCGAGTCCACAGTGTTTACACCATTAAAAGTTACAACAGATTCTAATAAGGAGCTGGATCATGCCTATGTCTACAAACTGTGATGCATTTTGGAGAAAATTCCTAATAACTAGAGTGCTTTCATAAATCACGAAATTATACTGACTCTAGTTCTTAAGAGTTGAACAACAAAAGTCTGAAGTAACCTTTGGGAAAAACCCTCCATATTCCCCTAAAAGGGGGAAAAATAACAGCAGGGTTCCTATATTTGTGTCCAAGAGTCCCTGTGTAGTTAGCAGAGTACACATGCAGGAAGACATAGATATAGAATAGCCTTAACCAGCAGACATCTACAGAAATGTAAGGTAACATTTTCAAAAGTATGTACATCCCATTAAACAGCCGTACTAATTAAATGTTATTGAAAATTTTACTCATATTATGGTCTGCAAGATTTATTCTACATGTCAAAGGAAAATGACAAAAACCAGTACCTGTTCTAAATTTTCTTTGAACCAGCTATAAAAATTTATTCTATAGATATTACCCTCCTGTAAATTATATGGATTATTTGTGAACAACAAATGGGGTACATACAATTTTCTATTAAGAAACTTATTTACCATATTACAAAGGAAAAATACCCATAGTTCCTACAAGTATTAGGAACTATTAGATTAGGTCATGAACCCCACACCACACCTTTGTTGTTATATTAATATTTCGTATTGCATATACTGTCAAACTAACAGACTAAGTGAAAATATAGAACTACAGGGTCTATTAAAATCATAAATATTAGTAGATCATTTATTTTTCTACTAAAATGTACAATTTCCAACTTTTTTGAATTAAAAATTAATGTATAGGGAAACAATGATCTATTAAACACATCAGTAAAAACTTCTCATCACTCTGATATATTTTTAACCACTCACTTCTCTATGTTATTTTCCCGATTTAAGATCTCCATAAAATTGTCCTTCAGCCTTAGATAGGTGTAACCAAGTCTGTCAAATGAAACACACATCAAGAGAATGAATACAAGAAATATATAATTATGCAGTTTAAGTATGTCATAAGGATTTAAGACCGAGCTTATCTTCTGAAAAAAAAAACCCCAAACTGTTTTTATTTGATTTATGAATATGAATAATCATGACTGTATGTTAAGAAAATCATCAGCTCTAGATGATTTTGGTTTTGTTATTATGATTTTTGTACTGATAACAATTTTGAACTTCAGTGATTAGATCTCTAGATTTAAAAAGTATAATACCTAATTACACACATACCTCTGTATTCCCTCAACTAAAGCAACTTCATCAGGTGATGATGAAATATATATACAAGATCTTCTTGAGAGATGGTTTTTTTTCAATCCATCTACGCTGTCATCATCTTTTACCTGAACAGTATGGCAAAGACAAAGAGCTCGAAAAAATAGTTCCTCTCTCTCCTAAAAAATAAAAGGAATGGTTGTCATTATGAGTGATCACTTTCAAGTATTCCTTTGAAAACTTTTCTTTGGGACAGTTAGCAATGTCACCGATTACTACTATTTATTACCAGATAAAGGCAGTGTCACAGGTCACCTGCCCTTCAGGGGGAGCCAGGTCTTTCCCAGTGGTAACCACACAACTGCTTAATAGCTTCTAGTGCTACTAGCATTGCCATGCAAGTCAAGTTCCTGATGCCCAAAAAAGACAGTGTGCATCTTTTGCTTCCTCTGAGTGCCTAGGTGTGGCTAAAGGTTTTTTTCTTTACTTTTGCTTAAACTTTAACAAGCTTTATCAAATACTAGTCAAGGTACAATTTTAGGAGTCCTGAGTCCAGACAGAGGGACGCAGCACCTGGAGCACGAGTGTTAACAGGCTTTACAGATTTCAATTTCTTACAGAGCTTGAACACCTCTCAGAGCTATATAAAATAAAAGGAGTGTGGACATTTTGGCAGCTGGAGCTAACAACTTCTATGAAGTTTCAGATGGTTTGGTAATGACAGCTTCTGACACCAGAAAGAGATTTCTCTTTCATGGATACCTGGCTATGTTCTACCTATATCTTTGTGTCTGAATCTTATTCTTCTGTGCTGTTCAATACAAACTGTCTGTGTCATTGTAATTCCAGGATAAAAACACAGTGTACCTTGGGACCGCATTCTGAAGGCCATGGGTGAGAGCCATAAGGCTGTTGAATTACACAAACATATTTTAAGAGGCCTTGTTTTGCCTTAGTGAAGGGTATGGCCAAAGTATGATTTGAGACTGTATTGATATATTCAAAAATATATTGTCCTTTGGCTATGATTATCCTGCCCATTTACACCCTGCTCATCAGTTGACACGTGAAGTCTCCTGAACTTTCAACTAACTTCGCAAACACAGCAAAAATGCCACAGCACATACATACTGTGTATAGCACATTTCGGATGTGGCTATGTTAAGTCACATTTAAAAGTAATTTAATTTGATCATAAACCATTCTCTGGCCACATCTTCACTCAGTGATGACTAAGTAAGTGTTTGCATTGAGCACTCATTTTCCCCCTTGAGGATTTTCCTGCCTTGCTTTCCCTATTGTAGCTAATGTTACACGGAAACCAGCTATTACGTTTCTTTAGCTATTAACCAGAGAAAGTTCTATAGTTTTGGGTTTTGTTTAATTCAGTTTTACAGCTGCAGTAAGTTGGGAAACTTCCTGTTAAGCCTTTAAATCTTAATCTAAAGTAGGAAAGAAAAATGTCTATGTTGTAATGCATTTCCTGCCGTTACCTTCTTTGATTAGTGAAATTCAAGGATGTTATATTTCTAATATTCCCTTCATCAGCACAGTTCAATTTTCATATTTCACTGTAAAAAACAAGAACCTAGAAAGAGTCATCATACCTTTCCACTTCCTCCTGGAGAAGAATCGATCATATCAATGCCTGTACAATCGTGGAGAATTTGGCCATTGCAGATAACATGTGGTACATAAACGTGCCCTTCAATGCAACATTCTACGAATTCCATGTTGTTCTCAGTTAATGTTCCTGTTTTATCTGTGAAGACATACTCAATCTGCAAATGAACACAAATTAAAAACAGCAGGAATTTTCCAAGGTCTCTTAACAAAACTGAGATTATTACTGGGTTACACCTTCCTTTAAAGATCCTTATGCAGGCTCTTTCAGAAAAGGAAGACAACAATTTCTTTTGGGAGTCATCTTCCACAGAAATGTGGGCCCTGAAAGATTTCATCATAGAAGAGTACCAGCAAAGCTATCTTTTGCCTCATAACACATATAAATAATGTGTTTAACCTACTTTCACTCTTCTCTCAAGCTCCTTTTTGGTTTTTCATGTCTTTCTTGCTGCAAGACAGATATTTATGGAAACAAAATGCACATTTATGGAAACAAAATTCCATTTCCCAGGGATCATTATTTAATGTACATGCCTGGATTTGGATCAGTTACTGTCAGAATGGTCCTTAGGGTAGTATCAGAATTCCCCACTACAATTATGTTAGTTTAAATGAGGACTCTGGACTAATGGTCACATACAGTTATACACATGGGCACTGTTATTGCCCTGGAAACACTCCTTTTGTTTCAATACTGAATTTTTCATTAATTTTATATTTTACAATGAGCCCCAGCATTTAAGGATAACAACATCAAAAATGAAACCAAAACCTGAACTATAAACCAGAACAGCTAGATCGGCACGAGCTCAATTTTGGATATTGAATATAGGTATTGTATACAGATTGCATGTATGTATTTGATAAACTGAGAGCATTATGTAAGGATAGGAATTAAACATTGGAAGTAAGGCAATTATTTAGTATTCGTCAGATTGTTTAACAAACTTCAACATTTATCAAGTGCATCAAACAAAATAAAAACCAAATTTTTGCTCTCAGTCATAAGAGAAGTTATTAAATACGTGAACTTTCCTCCTAGATTGACTTTTCTAATATTCATTAATCTGAAAAGGCAAGTTTCCAAATTTTCCAGCGGTTTGTTATCTGTGGACACAATACCCGTATTCAACATTTTTCAAAGTGGGCAGGATTTATATGGATTTCTTTCATCTCAACTCCTATATTCAGTTTCATAATACATTTATATAAGACACAAAATGCTATCAAGGAAACATCTTTTATTCATTCAGTGTGCTGCTTTGGGATCAACATCCATTACATGAAAAAAGGAATAAAGCATGTATATCACTATGACAGTATTTACTACAACCACAAATAAGGATTCGCAATCAAAGCCTTCATTAGAAATACGATGTATATCATCTTTCAAAAACGTAGAAGCAAAATTTAGTTTATTGGATTCATACTAATAATGCCAAGTACTGATGAGGGTCCCATTCTAGGGACGACACTTAAATTTAGTAGTAGTAAGTTATTTTTTGTAACGGAATCACAGAACAGTTGAGGTTGGAGGGCACCTCTGGAGGTCATCTGGTCCACCCACCCTGCTCAAGCATGGCCCCCAAGAACCATGGCCCAGGACCATGTCCAGACAGGTTTTGGTTATCTCTAAGGATGGAGACTCACAGTCTGCCTGGGCAACTCATTCACCGTGATAGTAAAATAGTGTTTCCTGATGTTCAGATGGACCCTCCTGTTTCAGGTTATGCCCATTGCCTCTGGTCCCATCACTGGACACCACTGAAAAAAGCCTGGCACCATCCTCTTTGCACCTTCCTTTCGTGTTTTTACATACATTGATAAGATCCTCCCTGAACCTTCCCTTCTCCAGGCTGGACAGTCCCAGCTCTCTCAGCCTGTCCTCACATAAGAGATGCTCCAGTCCTTTCACCATCTTTGTGCCCCTTCACGGGACTGCCCATGTCTCTTGTACTGGGGAGCCCAAAACTGGACACAGTACTCCAGGTGTGGCCTCACCAGTGCAGAGTGGAGGAGAAGGATCACCTCTCTCCACCTGCTCGCAATACTCTGTCTAATGCAGACTAGGATACCATTCGCCTTCTTTGCCATAAGGACACATTGCTGGCTCATGTTCAACTTGGTGTCCAGCAGGATCCCCAGGTTGTTTTCTCCCAAGCTGCTTTACTGCTGGGTGGCCTCCAGGGTACACTGTGCCCCGTCATCCAGATCATTAATGATCAGGACTGGACACCCTTGGTGTACACCGCTAATTACTGGCCTCCCACCAGACCTTGCGCTGCTGACCACCACCCTCTGGGCCTGGCCATTCAGCCAGTTTTCAATCCACCTCACTGTCTGCTCATCCAGCCCATAATTCATCAGTTTCTCTAGAGACAGTGCCAACTGTCTCCCATAATAACAAAATACTTGTTAACAGCTTTTATCCCAATAGATATGTGTCCCTAAAAGGTTAATTACTAATTTGGCTGTACAAAAATAAGGAAACACACCATCTTATTTATTTATTGAAAACCTATGAAAACATTTTTAACTAATAGAGATCCTAAATATTTTCTCAAAAAATATTCATGCTTATCTGTGTCAAGGTGATGATTTTCTTAACACAGAATACTAAACATAGAATTTCTTTTGGAAAATGAGAGTGGCAGTCAATCATTTTACCGGATGAAACTTGTGTCTGGAGATTTGATGTCAGTCTAGCCAGTCAAAAAGGGTTTTTCTTCCATCTGACTTTTACTCTGGGGAAGTTAGATGCTTATACAATCTCCCTCTATAGTCAATGGAGAGAAATCATCACCTTCTTAAAGTGTTTATCCTTTACTAATACAGTAATACTAACTGACTTCCACTGACTGGCTGAGAAATCAGAATTTTTGATTCTGAAAATCAGAAGATCTCAAATTTTATTTTTAAAAATAATCAGCACTAAAGAAAATGCACACTAAGCAGCAAAAAAAAAATCTGAAGTGACAATTTTAAAATAAAAAATTATGGTAGAAACAGTTGAAAAAATTTATCATTCAATGAAATTTACCTGTCCCAACTCTTCATTGAGGTCAGAAGTATTCACCAGTGGTCCTTCACCTGTGTCCTCATCAAACATTTCCTCATCCCATGTAAGGAAGTAAGAACCAAGAAATTTCTGCATTTCCACAGTGACATACATGGATACAGGAATAATGTAGTTGAAAAGAACCATGAATGCAAGGAAGTCTGTAAAAGCTCGAAGAAACTGCCAAAGAAACAAGATGAAAATATTGATTTTTCATGTACCATCAAAAACCGAAAGATGACTACATACATTCGCAAATTATTTTTTCTAATAACTTTCAAACAGTAAGCAACAGCTTTCACAGCTCACAGTTCAGCACAGGATGTATACCCTCATGATTTAACACATCACAACTAATTTGGCATGAAGAAAAAAACTTTTTTGTTTTAAATTTGTATTTTTCTTTACAGACATACAGGTGTAGAGTACAGTTACACATCATTGTTGTAAAGTTCTAGAGCAACTAATGAGCGTGGTGAACACCTGTATGAGAACAAGGAAAACATTAAAATGTACATTCACAAATTACCAGAAAAATACCATAAAACTACAGCAACTCATTCAAGGATTACCAAATTACATAACTTTCAGGCAGCATTTCATTAATAAATAAAGGGTTTCCCTTCCTTCTCTCAATACAAATAGGATGTGTGCACATAACCTGGTTCAATTTTTTCAGTGGTGGAGAATTGTTCAAAGTACAGTCAACCTGCTAAGCAGGTTGAGATAGTGTTACTGGTGGTAATGAGAAATCTAGAACATGCCTGGCTAGCATCTGCTCATCATGCTTTTAGGGTAAAGAAGGAAATTTTCCCCTAGTCCGACTGGGAGGGTTTAGTGAAATAATATTATGCTTCCTGTAGTGCTGGGTGCAGTTCGTTACTTTGGATCATCTGGGTATCTGTTCTGGACTATGTCCTTGCTCCTATAAGGACATCGGACACTGGCAACTCTGTTGCTGGTCTCTAGTACTCATGACAGAGTTACAGAGCTATATGAAACTAAGCTTTTGAGGGGTATTTTTACAGAGATTCCTACAGCAGGTTCTTTTGAACACGTCTGTTGTATGATTGCCAATAGTTGTGGGATTCTTTTCAGTCCTGTATTTCTCTGCAAAAGGTCAGTTTTTAGTAATTCACATAAATGACAGGAAACTCTAAAACACTTTCATGAGGTTTTTTATACTAAAACAGACATTTTCTCATCAGTTAAATTCACACATAAAACTTAAGTGTAAAAATTTAATATACAAGTTTTCTACAAATATATTGTCACCACTGTTAGCAAAAAAAGCAACAATTTATGACTGGTAAGTAAGCAGGCTGTATGTACTTTTCAGTAGGATTCTTATAAATTAAGGGTTTAGTGTCACTTTTTTGGTATTTTAATTTATTTCCATACCAAATTTCTTTTCCTTTCCGGCTCTGTTTTCTGATTATACCATGGCTCATCACGAAACGGTTCACTCTGCCAGACATACTTCAGGACAGTATTTATTAGTGCTTTACTGATGAGAATACAGAGGTAAACAATAAGGAATACATTCATTGATCTAAACAAAAAAAAGCAAAATAAGAATTCCATTAGCATATAAACTACAGAGTTTATTAAAAAATGTTACACTTGTGCTTCAGCCTAACATTTGCTGCAAGTCTAACAATGCTATGATGTTAAATAACTTCTCTACAGTGTTTTCCCAATGAAGAAAAGTATTATTGAGGACCATTTTCTATTTAAAATGTTAACTGCTATAATTGTTTCCAAAATGTGTGTGAAACATTATCAAACCTAGTATATTAGTGAAAATAAAAAAAAAGCATAGACGGAATCATAACAGAATAACCGGGCTTGTATCTGCAGTCCTTTTTATGCCATTTCTCTGAACCAATATAAAAACACTTACACAAGTACTTTTATAGAAATATAAATCTATCGAGAACATTTTGCTATGTAGCTGTAATGGTTTAACTCTTTCTAGACAGGTCTAAAAAAAGAAAGAGCAAGAACACTCTACATTTAAAATTATATTTTCATTAATGATGGGCATGAACTAAAAGCCATGGGTTATACATCAATAACAATAAAGAGACACATCATCATTGTTCAGTCACTGCGTAAGAGAAGGGCTGTCAGCTAGTCAGTACATCTTGCCTTAATCAATGATGTCTTTTTCTTCACAAGGTTGGACACCTTACTCAGAGCTGATGATTTTGGATAGCAGAGTAGGACTAGAAAATAACTCTCTATTTTAAAAAAAGTAAGCAAACCAATGTCAGCTCATTCCTTGAGGATAGCAGTGTCTTCCTTTCCCATCATATATGCCTGAATGGAACTTCAAATTTTAGCTAAACCATGGAAAACTTGCCACAGACAGGCTTTGTGTTACTGCAGTTGATCCGAAGTGAAGTGCATCAAAAAAGTTATTTTCACTGAATTCAAGAATTAGTTGCAATGAAAAGGAATGTTAGGATATTGAAGCACATAATCTTGGAAAACTGTCAGTAGGTGTACTCTAACCAGTGAAAGAAAGGTCTTCTGGAACAGCAAAAGCCATCGTATCTTAAAAAGGTAAGCATTACATTAAGGTGGCTTTTTTTTTAACATTTAATAATAATTTAGTATTGAGAACCTAATTTATATAGTGTTATATAACTGATTTTATAAGTAAAAAATGATAAACAAAACAAAGCAAATTGTAAGTCCCCCTACCTCTTTTTTAATTTAAATCAATGAAACATAAACTTTTAGCAAAAAAAAAAAAAAAATATTGCCTTTCATTCACCATTTAAACATGCAGTTTTCTACCCCCAAAATAAGTATTAGAAATTTTACTTTTCTACAGCAGATCGCTTCTGTGATTTTGCCTGGTAATTTAATGCCATCTTAGTTTCCATGCCAGTGTAGATAGCAACACCTGAAATTAGACAACTTGTTTTAATAAAGATTGCACAGTACAATAACTTCATAAAAGCACAATTCACTGGATTATTATACTCTGTCATTTCTTTAATTCTCTGTAGTCTGAAGAAAAAGAACAAAGATTTGGATGATACTCAAAAACTAGAAACGGCTTTAGTATCTTGGTTCTTAGAGGGAAATTTTAAGCAGCATTTACATCCCATTCCAGAGTCACAGTTCCCAATTGCTAACACATTGCTATGTATCAAAGCCAAACCAAAGCTGGGTTTTGAATAAATCCCCTTGTGTTCTTAAGTTCTTTTTTTTGATTTAATTTCAGAATCTAAGTCATACATTGTAAAAGAAAATCCAGATAGGGCTAAACTACATGATACATCCAAGAAGAATAAAAGGCAGCCATTGATTTTGCTTGCTTCAGGAAAAATTAATTTGTGAAAAGAGTGATCTTTTAATATTACCAACTTCCTGTTGATAACACAGATCAAGAGTCTAAACTTCACAAGATTGAGTACAACAACTAAAAGAGGCTGTAAACAAGAAGATGGATTTAAAGTACTTATTAAACCAGCACACTTGTACATTGCTAAAATAAAATAATTTGGGATATGGATTGTGCTGGGGTAACGGCAAACACTGTATGTGTTAGGCAGAGCAGAAACAACCACTCATATTAGGAACATCTCTGCTTGACACACAAGTTAACAGAAACATTAAAACCATCCTCTGAAGTTTACAGAAATACTTACTACAAACTAATTATATTAGTTCATCTATTTTAGATTAGAATTAAAAGCAAAGAGAGCAAGTTTAAATTAATATATGCTTTTTACACTTTTTTTTTTTTGAGAAAAAGTTGCAAGATTTGGGTATTTTAGGCTAAGCAGTTTATGGCTATCTATGATCTTCTTTCTTGGGAGCACTGAAGTTGTATATGATAGAGGATGACTTGGATCTTGTCCCTTTTGTCACCAGCAAAGAATGGCTTGTTACAACAGAACTACTACTCCCACTAGGCTTTCTTGAAGAATTTCCAAAAAACATATCTCGGTTTTTGCTTCCTATTTCTGCTAAAATATTCAAAATTTTCCATGGAGCGAAGACAATTCATACATACAAAATACACTGGCTAGCAGAAAGTCTAATTCTGATCAGGAACTGTTTAAGTGGATTTTTTTTTTTTTTTTTTAATCAGCCATATTTATATCTGGTTGACAAATGAGCAAAACAGATTTAAAATTTTTCAACTCATTAACTGCTTTGGGACAACATTATTAATTCACAGTGCTTGTTCAAAAGCCATATAGTTACATTAAGAAGTTGAGTCATCTTCACTGATCTTTGAAAACTGAACTATAATATCCCCCTCCCAAAAATCTCTATAGTGATTGTACATCATTAATAGTTACTTTACTGCAATTATAGCAACAGTAAACCTAATAAAGAAGTTGTAAATCAAGTGATTCAATAGAAATCCTATGCTCAGTATTAACCGTAGGGTTGTAACCTTGTTTGATATTTGTTTATTACTTCAGGGTCCATTTAAATAATCAATAGAAATATTTACCAAAGATTTTTTCTGTATTCTTTAAAGTGGCTCCTCTAAGAAGCAGATTTTCGGATCCTAATGGCCTGCAAAAAATAAGTATTACAAAATATAAAGATTTAGAGAGAAAGAGCGGACCTTAGTGGAAGCCATGTAAAACAAGAAATTAGTTTTACTCAAGTATTTTTATTTTGTGTAACAAAATTACTAGGCATAGTTAAAGCTTTTAAGTGAAAATTAAAAATATATATACAGATGCCTAAAATGAAGCTCATAATTTCACAATTCAAGTCTTAAACCAATGCATCTAAAAACTACATATGTAGGTACCTAAATAAAGACTCATCATCCTAATTGTAAGGTGCTTATTTTTAAAAATACTGATTCAAGTCTTTAGGCTTATATAGTATCCTGCATGTTAGAATTACTTAATAAGGACAACACATTCTTCCATTTTATTTTAAGTATAAATGGCAGACAAGGTATTATTTGATACTTACTGTATACATTTCAAAGCATAAAGATGAATATAGGTAAAATGATTTATTGAGGACTAGGGGAATTAATGTAAGGATCCCCATGCAGTTTAACACAATATTTTGGAGCATGATATGTAATAAAGTGCAAAAACAAGGACTACTTTATAGACAGACAGCATGCAGAATTGTCAGACCCTATCTATACAGCAATGGAAAAAACCCAAGAAGCAAGTTCAGTATTTTTTAATGTTACTCAAAGTGTTCTTGTGGTATGAACCCCCCCAAAATCAAGAAACTCTAAACAAACAAAAATCCCAGGGCCATAATTCTGATGTAAAACCTGAAACTAGTTCCATTTAAACCAGTGCAGTGATGTTATATGAGTATTTGGATTATAAGACATTATACCCCAATATGGTAAAAAAAATCAATTGCTCTAATAGTTCTGTCCAAGGAATACAAGTCTTAATGCCACAGATTTTCTTCTCATGTGTTATACACAGATCAATCTATTGCTGTTGAGATTAAAAAGGTATTTTCTGCTTATTTTCCTTTCCTCTCCCACCCAAGTTCATTTCCAACCAACTTTATTAGTTAAAAGAATCTTTAAAGTGAAAGAAGCAAAAAAGACAGTTTTCATAGCAGACTCTGATAGAAAATCATGTATCTACAGACACGCTGAGGTTAGGAAGGCACTTAGCCAGAATGGAGTAACTTCCCACATGCTGGGGTCTAGGATATCACCTGAGCGAGAAGCCTTTCTCTCCTATTGCTTTGCCTCTTTGTGGCAAGGACCTGAACAAAATCAGGTCAGCAAATCTCTTCCTTGCTGGTAGACAGAAGATCCTAGGCAGAAAAGACAGGAAGACTCGTGCCTCTTTTGTACTGCTTCATTTTGCTTCTCTGTCTGCTGGACAAGGAATGTCCTGGGCTGCTCCTTGAGCAGAAAGCACTGCACTCCCTTCAGGATGAAACCTATTTGCACAGGAGGCAGAGACCCTTCTAGGTGCCAGACCCAGCGTAACAGATCGCTGTCTCCTACACCACATCAAAATGCATTTCCCTGGATGTTGCCTTCCTGAACACACACAACATTGTGGACATTTTAGACAAATGTACAAACACCCTTAGTAAAACTAAACTGTTTTGGCAGTTCCAATTCTTCAATTTCTAAGAAGAAAAATGAGGGAAATAGACAATTCATATTGGTTAGTGCACTACCAAGACCCCATGCTAATGGGGCAGTATTGTACAAGTACTGTCAAAATCCTATCAGCATCATTTACAAACTAAATACATGTCAAATAAAAATTGAAGTTGAATAAAGACATAAAAATATAAAATAAGAGAAATCTATCTGATTAAAAGATGAAATATTTATGATATATGAAGTAACAGTCTGGAAACTTCTAAGAGAAAAATATTCTATCAATAAGACAAGGCAGCACAATGTTGGTGAACCAAAGGTAATTCTCATTATTGATGTTCATTCAACCCTGAAAATGTTTAAATGCGTAGAAACTCTGGATTTTCCCTACCTTGCAGTAGGCTCATTCCTATCATGGTAAACATTTATTCGACCAACAAATCTGCAAGGGAAATATACCAGCAGTTTAGCAACACTGCTAATTTGTGTATTCTTACGCATATATGTCCCAATATTTCAGGTTTTTTAATGTACATTACAAGGACGTATAATTCTCTCTATATACAGATATATATACCACACATACATATTTAAAACCAAAGCGAATTACTCTGATTTTTAAACATATATGTGCGAATAGATTATTTGAGAAATATTTTCTAGAAAATATTACAGTAAGCCATTTCCAATTGAACGCGCTCTGATTATCCAGTACATAAACAAGAACATAGAGATCATATGGTTATATTTAAAACATGTAAATACAAAAATACACAGAACAGTAAGTCAATGCAAAGTTTGCATATAAAAAGATATGAGATTATAAAATTAGGAACAAATCTTCTAAGTAGACCCATTAGCAAGAAATAACAAGAAATCTTATTCCCTAAACTACACGAGGTAATTACTATCCTTTACAAAACCTAAAAGCTACAACTTGTTAAAAACAAAACAAAACAAAAGCATAAAGCCAATAAGCAATTCTCCCTCTGAATATCTCTAAGTACATTTTATCCGTATGTGGTGGTTGACCCTGGATAGCAACTAAGCACCCACTAGCCTCTCGCTCGTTCCCTCCCCAGCAGGATAGGGGAGAGAATCGGAAGAACAAATGCGAGAAAACTTGTTGGTCAAGAAGCGAGATAATGACAGTTTAATAAGTGAAGGAAAAAAACCAAGTGATGCAAAGGCAACCACTCACCACCTCCCATAAGCAGACTGGTGCCCAGCCAGTCTCCAAGCAACAGCTACTTTGGAAAGATTACCCCCCCAGTTTTATTGCTGAGCATGACATTATATGGCACGGAATATTCATCTGGTCAACTGAAGTCAGACATCCTGGTTGTGTCCACTCCCAGCCTACTTGCTGGAGGGGCAGAGTGAGAAACAGAGAAAGCCTTGACACGGTGCAAGCACTTTTCAGCCACAGTTAAAACACTGGTGTGTTATTCACACTGTTTTAGTCACAAATCAAAACCACTACACCACATGGGCTGCTATGAAGAAAATTTACTCCATTCCAGCCAGACCCAGTACACTGTATTTGCAATACCCAAGTGGGTAACCTCAAATCAAAAGGGATTAAGCCCGACATCAGCATTCCGGATGGCAGAGGAAACTGTGGGGAGCTGGTGGGTCTGTTACCCTGAAAGGGAACCTCTCAGGCTCAGAGGAGTGGTGACCTGGCTACTGAGAGAATATACAACACCGTAGAGCCACATCTAAAGACACTGTACAGTTTGTTATGATGCATCATAATGTAAAATGACCATGTGCCTTTGGAAAGAAAGATTCGCCACTGTGGTTTGTTGAGAGGTAAAGTGCCAAGTAAAAATTAGCAGAGGTAGAAGCTGTCTACCAATAAGCATTCTCATTATTCATGTGCCAACAGTTGTCCCAACAAATTCCACCATCTATAACAGTGTGAGCTTCAACTTCTAACCATTCACTTTGTGAGCCAGGCATTTAAAAAAGGATCAAGCCATTCATGGAATCAGTTTTCTAAAGAATCTGTTCTCTTGCAGATTTCTAGACCAGTTCCTTGGTCACTGAGATCAGGGAAAAGAGATACTTCCACACCTCAGAAATAAGAAATGTTTTCTCTGTATCTTCCAACAGTATTTGCTGATAAAAGAGTGCATTTTAGTTTGTTGCCATATTGTTTTCTGTGTATTATTTCAGCTATTTTTACTGCGGCAAGAAGAACAAGTGTTTCCTCTATGGTATGAGCTTTTTGTTTTTCACTATTAAGAAAGAAACCTTAAAAGAGGCTTCTAAAGATTTATCATTAAGTTTAGTGAAATTTTGTACAGTACTTTCGTAAAATACTGGGTGCCGCATGACTTTAAACATTGCTAAAAAACTGTAGAGGTTTTTCTTCATGTTCTGAATGCTTAGTTTTTAAATGTCTTGCTAATCATGATGGCTTCATACTATCATTAGCTAATATCTCAAAGCACGTGGGGTGAGATTCATCGTTAACAATAGCAGATGTAAATCAGTATTTCAAATAGCCTTGAAAATTTACATTTTTTCTGGCCGACTTCTTGTCAGATCTGATTAGATTGGCATTGGTTTTACCTTGTACTGTGGCTGATGAAGAGCTCATACTAGGAGTAGAAGTGTTTGCCATTTTATTGTTGTTCACTTGTGCTTGCATTGTCAGTATTATCTTCAATCCACAGTTTCTTTTTAAGCCACTTGACCATTTTGTGAGGATTACTTCAATTAAAACTAGATAATATAATCCATAAATCCACTTAACCGGGCACGCTGACAACCTCTCCGCGTTGTAGAACACCCTCTCTTCCCCTGGAGATTCCTCAGGAACTCTGTGTGAGAACTCTCTGACATACAGGCTGAGTAAGGGTGCCAGTGTCAAGAACTATATTAAGTATTAGTAAAGCTTAATTTCTTTCTTATTTTTTAGATTAAAAAAATAAATAAAAGTTCTAAAATTTTCGTCACGCACCCCAATGGATCATCTTGTGCACCCCCCTTTGGAGACCACTGCCCTAGAGCAGACCAGTGAACTACCTCAGAAAAGGAGCATGGATGGAAGACTAACCTGACTTCAGGCTCACTCTGGGGCCCACTCTAACCAGCCAGATGCAGCCAGTATCTTTTCATCATGATATTCTTATAATTTATTGCTAGGGTACCTTAAATGAAACAGGTCAGAATTATTTTCTTACTTATAAAGGTCAGGCTGAGGTTGTTCACATTCAATGGTAGCATGTAGTGCATCGATTTCTTGTTCATTGTGAAACGCCTTTGTATCTTGAACAGCATAGTAAGTCTGGAATGAATAAAAAGGTGTAAATAAAATGAAAAAAGTAAGGACAGATATACAAGACATTAATCTGCACATGTACCTCTAGTTCAGCATGAAATAGATTTACTAACTTCTACATGAGAGCTCATAGTTCAAATAAGATGCACCTTTAAATGCTCCTAACTGGGCATCTTCTTACATTATATGCAAGTAACTTGCAGTGAACTCACAAATCAGGTCACCGTGAAAGCAATTAAGTACAAAAAAGTTTGTGCATTATCTCTGTAATCTCTATGCCTATACTAGACACAGAAAAAATCACAAATAAATATGTTTCAAAACCTTCCATAAAATAATGATACTTCAAGAGAAATGAAGTCAACTGGTAGAAACGTAAGTTACACAAGTTAGTGTATCTGCTTACACATATAAGCATGAAGTCATATTGTGATCTGTGCAAAAAATTAAATGCAACTTTGCCTTAAAAAGAAAACGTAGAACATTTAATTACTTTATGACTGGATTCACCGTCCAAACTAGCTGTTGTAACAAAACATGTTCCGTCTCCTCTACTACTTGATAGAAATATTAAGTCACAGGGGAATGTTTCATCTTCTTTTACCATTACAATATCTCCAACCTAGGGAAAAAACACAACAAAATAAAATGCATTTATCATTTATGTAGCAGCCCAAATTTCAGATTTCAAAACCAAAACCTAGGTTCACTCAAATATCTTGAAAACTCATCAATTTTTATTTACACCAGGATTTTACCACAGGAGTAAAGAACTACAGAAATATCTCTAAAAAACTGAATTACACCTTGTAGAATGACTGAGGTCTACTGTGTACTACCTTTCATAGAATCATAGAATTATAGAATCATTAAGGTTGGAAAAGACCTCTAAGATCATCAAGCCCAACCGTCAACCCAACACCACCATGCCCACTAAACCATGTCCCTAAGCTCCTCATCTACACGTCTTTGAAATACTTCCAGGGATGGTGACTCAACCACTTCCCTGGGCAGCCTGGTCCAAGGCCTGACCACTCTTTCAGTAAAGAAATTTTTCCTAATGTCCAGTCTAAACCTCCCTTGGCGCAACTTGAGGCCATTTCCTCTTGTCCTATCGCTGGTTACTTGGGAGAAGAGACCAACCCCCACCTCGCTACAACCTCCTTTCAGGTAGTGGTAGAGCGCGATGAGGTCTCCCCTCAGCCTCCTCTTCTCCAGGCTAAACAGTCCCAGTTCCCTCAGCCGCTCCTCATAAGACTTGTTCTCCAGACCCTTCACCAGCTTCGTTGCCCTTCTCTGGACACGCTCCAGCATCTCAATGTCCTTCTTGTAGTGAGGGGCCCAAAACTGAACACAGGATTCGAGGTGCAGCCTCACCAGTGCCAAGTACAGGGGCACGATCACCTCCCTACTCCTGCTGGCCACGCTATTTCTGATACAGGTTATCCTCTCAGGATAACCACTTTGCAAGTACTGTCTTATTAAGTTTTGCAACATTATTTGAGAGATGGAAGATACTATCCTTGTTTTAAGGGTAAATACAACAAAACATTGTTTCAAAAACAGCTGGAGATGTGAGCCACTCTTGTTGGCTCTTGAGGATAAGCATCTAGCTCCAAATATTATAATTAGAGATAGCTGAAAAAAATAAGAATTCCAAGTCTGCCAATGAAAATAGGATACATTTTCAGCAGAATTTATGACTAGAAGTCCATCCTATTTTTATCCATGTTTAAAGGTGAGCAAATTAATTTTTATTCATGCAAACATAGGTAATATCTTACAGCGTGTTAAAGAGTGTCACAGAACGGCCAACAAACTATAAATTCAAAATATTACTGTAAACCATTCACTTGAGAAAAACAGCCTTTGATACATTTTTGGAGGTCATCTTTTACAAAGGAATATAAAAAAAAAATGAACAAATGGCAAAGATATACTACATGTTTTAAGAATACCAAATTTTCAATAAAAATCCTATCAAAATACGTAATTTTTGCAATTTTTCATGTAGCTCAACATCTGTTCAATATACTTTTATGTCATAATTCATTCTCGTAAGATTCAGCTTAATCATTGTTCTCGTGATAAAACTTATAAAGCTAAATTCCAATATCCTTAGCAGTTGGCAGGAGTCAGCTAATTCTAGTTAAGCAAAATAGTCTGATAACAATCAGCAATAGTAACATCTAATAACAAAATTGTGACAGTTTAGATAAGATTTACTAACATGTATTGAAGAACCAGAACAATGATAATAAATGAGATTTAACTTCTTGTAGATATGAAAAAGGCTTTTTTTTAACCAATAGCAATGAAAAATTGCAGATTGTACATATGGCATAGGAGAATGCAAGTTGCTAAGCATACCTGCAACAATCAGGTATGAAAATTAACAGAAACTTCAATAAGAAATTTTCCATCTTTTGTGTAAACAATGGCGTCTTTTTGAAAATCACGACTTCTAGTGCAGCAGTAGAGCTGTATGGTTTACTAATTTTCAGTCTCTGAATGAAAATTAGAGACGTATTAAAACAGCATAATCCCCATTTCTAGGGAAAAGAAGCTGCACTTTTAACCAATAATAAAAAGTTTTGGGCCATTCAAATTTAGGAAGGGATTAATTTCCGCATGTATTTCCTTTTGATTAAATGACTTCTCATGTACCATTCTGCAGACCCAGGGAAGTGAAGATACGTAGTGAGACAGTGAAGGGGTAGGTTTGGAACAGGAGGCAGTGAATGTCTTGGCTGGAGCCAGCCTGAACAATACAGGGCCTTCATCCCGAAGAGCAGTGGGCCCTGACGGACCAGACTACTGCTCAAGTTGCCTTATTCTTCCAAGATGTATCTTCACGACAACCTGCTTTTTTGCCACAACATCATTCATTATGAAAGACGGTGACATGATAAATTATAATAAAGCCCTCAGAGTGAGAACTTTACCAAAACCAGACAAAACACTGTTAGGGAATTATCTTGAATAAACTGTTAGGTGACAGAGAATCCACCTATTCCTAGAACAAACTGTAAGAACACCACGTAACTATTTTGATTTTACTAGCTGTCTTTACCACTGAAAACAACATTAATGTAATTAGCAGCTACCTAAAACACAGCAATATTACTGGAAGTTTAATCACCTCTACAGATGCCTTGAAAGGAAAAATCAGAATTCTTCAGAACATTGAATCTGGCCAGAGAGAAAGTTGGGAGGCCAGTTTAGCGAACAAAACCCTTCTGATAGTAAAGTGTCACTACAAGAACAAGCATGAGAAAAAATGCCCACTGGGTCTGGAGCTTAAAACTTAAGTTTCAGAAAGTGAGTTTTTAGGTCTAACTCATAAAGACAAAAGAGTCCTCTTACTTTTGATTTTCACAGATCATAGTGTTGAATGATCCTTATTATTTATTAATTAATCCAGCAAGATTACCTCTCTGTAAGCCACAGCATACAAGTCACCCTGCAAGCCAGGAACAATCTATAATACAACAGCCTATTAAAACAGAAGTTAATAATCTAAACAATTTGCAAAAGAAAAGAGGTAGGAATAAAATGAAAAAAAAAAAAAAAAACAAAAAAAAAAATACTAGCAAAGAGCATCTTCTTAATAAAATTTAAAAGGTGTTCTGACAACATTTGCCACTGTGTCAGCTAAAGGTGCAGAGGATGGAGCCAGGCTCTTTTCAGTGGTGCCCAGTGACAGGACCAGAAGCAACGGGCACAACCTGAAACATGGGAGGGGCCATCTCATTTTCACTGTGAGGATGACTGAGCACTGGCACAGTTTGCCCAGGGAGATTGTGGAGTCTCCCTCCTTGGAGGTATTCAAAACCTGTCTTGACAACCAGCTCTCAGTGGCCCTGCATGAGCTGGGGGGTTGGACCAGATGACCTCCAGAGATGCCTGCCAACCTCAACCAGTCTGTGATTCTGTGAAAAAGAAACCTCATCTTTTAGCAATTCTCTTTTTCCTTTCTTTAATCAAATGTCCATAGGCTTTAGGTGCAGAAGGATCTACCTTTATACAATCTAGCCTGTTTTCTTGCATAATACAGGTCAGAGAATTTTACCCATTTATCCATACATACAGATATCCCTTTCCATGCAACTATTCCTATGCCTGGTTCTCCTATCATTTAGTTGCTCAAAATACAATCTCTGAATGGCAAAGAATAGGAGAGAAATTGAAAAAATATGGGCAATAGATTAATTAATGGAATACAAATTCCAATTACGTGGTACTTTATTATTATTATTTGGAATATTTAACTGTTTAGTTACACATATGGAATACTCAGCATATGAAGCCCTACGCAGGAGCTATCACACTCAAAGGAAAGGTCACAGCAGAAAGGCTGTGAACACTGTAGAGCCATTTATGCCCAAACAAGACAGAGCAGAAAAAGATATCCCGAACAAAGATACTAGAAATAAGGAAACTCCAAACAAGTATCTATCAAATTTGCTGAGTTCTAAAGAGAATAATGATGAAAAGTTAATCCCCTAACAAAAAAGAAAAAAAAAGAAGCAGCAGAAATTAATTTCTGAAAATAACCTTCAAAATACCAGGAAGGGAATGTAGCAGCATTCAGAAGTCCAATGAAGAGGCTGTGATTTGATGGGTAATGAAGAAAGTATTCTGAATGTGGTGTATATATATGTATGCATATATATGTGTTGTATACATAGGACAAATTGGTAGTGTTGACTATCATAATCAGGCTTAAATAAATTATTAATGTGGATAACCACAGAGGATCGAAAACGGAGAAAAGACAAAAGACAAATCATGAGTGAAATTCCAAGTTAAAAAATGGAAAATGAAAGGAACAGTTATGAGAGGAGTCAATACAGCAAAGATAAAGCAGAAACATATCTAAAAATACTTTATTCAGAGGCATTAAATTAAAAATTAGTATATTGTAGGTCTAATCTCCATTAAATATAATAAATGCTACAACATCATGACACTAGATTTCTGTATAATTTGTTTTACAAGAAGTGTGAAGTAAACCCTGACTCCTAAAATCTGTTAAGTCATAGTTACTTACTCTTAATTTTCGGCTTTGCTTTCTAACCAGTTTACCATGTTGAATGAAATGAACAGGGCATTGGTTCATTGCATTGTCAGCTTTATGTCGAAGCCAATCTTCATAACCCTAGAAAACAATGAAATGGAATGACACAGTGATGCACATTTGGCTATAAAGACACAGAACAGCTCTAGCTTGCAACAAAAAATTCAAAAATTATCCTTGACCAAGATAAGGAAAAACAAAGAAAATATTCTCACTAGAACAAATGAAATTGTGATACACATCAGTAATATAGTAATGTTGGACATACATGAAAAAGAGCATTCATGGTTACAATTAGTCAACAAAACCACATATTTTAATGAAGACGTTTTGATGAATAGGGATGTTTATAACGTGTAGAACAATTTCTGGTATTTAAGTGATCATCTCTTGCTCACTTAAGGAAGTCAATAGAGCTCTATTGACTCTTGAGTAAGTGCAAAGTACTTATAGAAGCAGTTGCTGAGAAGATAAAAGTGTAGAAAATATATTTTGGAAGACTGGGACTCCATATTGAAAGATGATAGTCACGACATGACTGAAGGTGGCCATATTTGCTGACTGTCATACAATTATGTCTAACTTTTTAACCCTATATACAATATATATAGTCCTGAAGAATTTTGTTTCAAGAGACTTTGCAGAGTAATCTATTTTGATTGCTCCATTATCCTGTGAATTTGTGTTTTATACAAACAGACAAAGTAAAGGACAGGGAATCTGCAACTTTCCATTCAAAGGTCCTGCCGTGGGATAAAGATTGGGACTGACAAAGACACCAGTGGTTATGACATGGAAAATATCACTTGTATTCCATAGCATTTCTACATCTAACTCTCTTGAGCACATTTGAAAAGCCAATGTCTTATGCAATTCTATTTCAACAGAAGAACTTTTATTAGGAACTTTTATACTCAATGATGTGGCAAGAACTGATTTCAAAAAAATACTTCCATTTCATGGATTAATTTTCACATTAAAAATGAGAGAATACTATAATATCTGTTCAATACTGAACTGTAGAAAGCACTGCAGCTACCATTATGAACTGCAGAGTATAATCAACATATACTGAAGACTTGAACCAAAATAATTTTTATTATCTGTTCATACTGTAAAGGCTAAGGAAATCCCAAAGGTAAGAGCAGATTTATCTTATAAGCTTTTGTAGTTCTTATTAAATTAATTTTCAGTCATTATGGAAAAGCATAATAGGATGTAGACAGTTATTTAGAAAGAAACAAATAAAAGTCAAAGTGTGCTGAGTAAATACAAGAATGTAAATGATTCCTTAGAACACAAGGATATCAAAATTATAAAGTAATTTAGAAGATTGTGTTGAATTAGTGAGACAACATAATGTAGCAACCAGTTCTACTTAAACTACAGAAACAAAAATAAAATTACTCCGTCAAAGTTCATCCCAATCATTCTTCACGCATTGCCCTAAGACAGTCTAAAACAAAAAGGCAGGGAAAATTGAAATGCAAAACAAATAATAACATTCTTTTTGGTTATACTTTTGTTCACTAAACTACTCACCTGTTTGATAGCTGTTACGGTGATGACAAATAAAAGTGGGAGTCCACTTGTAACTGGACTAGTAGGTGTATCAATAATCAACTGCAACAAAAGGGACAAAGATTTTCCAGTTATATTTTTGTGAATGTAAGCAGTCAATTTTTCAAGCAAGACGTTTCAAGTAATTTTTCAGCAGTATGTTACAATGCACCAAGGAACTTTAATTAAAAAGAACAGTACTTTAATACAAAATTTCAAAAATAACTATATGCTATAGTAAGATACAATACTATACTTAGATCACGTTAACATTCAGACGTTAATGCCTAGTAAAAATATTTGCTTGCGAGGGTTTAAGTACCAGGCTGGAAAGCTGCAGCTTTGGAGGCAAAATTACTGAGCAGTGCTAGAAATCAGCATAGTGCTATTTTCACATATTATACAATAGAGCTGTTCCTATGCATGCAAGGAATAAATCCTGAAATACTGAGCTGTGGCTTCTGCAATTATATTCAAAGAGGTATACTCCATAGAAGGAGTTCAGATACCGAAACTGCTCTGGGAATCCGCATAGCTTTTCTTTCTGCACAATCTGGTGTACAAAGTAATACAGCTTTTCACTTAACTTAGTAAGATTTTTATTGTTTAACACATTTAAGCGACAGCAAAAGATTCAGAATGAAGACACCTAGAAAGCAGCAAACTAGTTATCTGACGTAATAATTACAAACCCAAGTATTTATGTACCACTCTAAGCAAGCATTGTATAAGCATCTATATTTTGGTTTCTCTACAGGCTTTAATGACAGCACAGTTGAAAAATTTCTGCCAAGGCATCATTCTGTTATAAAAAATACAATATTTAGCAAAACTAATAGAAGTTTATCATCCACATAATTTATAACAATGGCTTTACTGATTTGGATGTTTGTTTATTACAAAATAAAAATAAAAAATGACACTCATTCTTTTCAGTTTTATCAAGAGATGTCTTGCCATCAAACCAGTGATGGTGTCAATTTCTCTTTAGGTTAGATTCACATTTACAAACTGGAAATGAAACAAAACTCTTTTGTCACATCATGAATGTAAAAGGCTATCCAAGCTCAACCATTTACCTCCCCAGTTTTCAAAACCAGTGGATTTTCAAACCTTTTTCAACTTCTTGTTTTTTTAGGAAGAGGCCAGAAATTTATTAAACAATGGGGATAGCTTACCTGAACAAGGAAAATTATGAGAAAATAGAAGTTAGCTATTCTTCTGAATTGCTCAAACAAATTTTTCGGTACAAAGTTCCAAAACGTGTACTGAAAACAAATGCACAGATTATCAGTGTTTGTGAGAGAAGTATTATTCACATTCTACGTTCCAAAACCAAAGAAATTCATAATTCACAATTCAAGATTAAACTGAACAAAAAGTGGTAGTATTTCTGCTATTTTGTTTAAATATTATTTAATTTAAATTTAAATATTATTTATTTACTGAAATGGAATCTTAAATTGGCAGTCATGTATTCCTGGAATCATATCAACTGCCTCAGGAATTTTCTGAGCTGCTATAATCTTGGTACTAGGAACTGAAATAATTTTTAACTAGCAACAATACTCACTCAGAGATTTAGTTATAAAACAGTTCAGTTAAATCGAAGGATTTTTAAAAATTCCTAGTCACTTCTAACACCACTTTCAATTCACTTCCATTTTGTACACATGACTTGAGGAGGTAGGTGGCACTCTGAGAGTTAACTATTCAGTAACAGCAAGTTCACCGAATAATGGTGTCCAAGCCCCCCTTCTCTTCCTTGGTTTGGACACAAGCATACTCCTCAAAATAAACTATAGCACAGAGTAAGAGTATATGGCTGCATATTTCTCTACTGATCTTACAAATTATCTAAAATTTAATAAAATGACATAACAAACAGTATATAAAAGTGCAAACAGAAAATGCAAAAAACGTCAAAGGAAAAAAATCATATAAAAGTGAGAAAGGACTTTATATCACCTAGTCCCTTCCTCTGCCCTGCAGCAGTTTCAAATACACTCTTTTGACACAGATCATTCTGTGGGTCCAAAAAAATTTGCAAGGATTGCTTATTGGAATGCATGTAAAAATGTCAGCTAAAACTGTGTGAAAAGGTGTGAAAAATGGCTTTAGAAAACTAACATTGTATCATCTTGTTATCCAAATTATCATTTGACACATTAAAAAATGACAACTCCAATGTAACTTTCATTTCAAAGGAGACAGGCTAAGAAGCTTCTCCCAATTATTTGCTCTGCTAGAAATGTGCCTTGTATCTTCTTGGCGGATTGCACCGATACTTGCTGATGTGCAAATTACGCCATAAGTTATACATCTTCCAAATTTGGCCCCAAAAGCAAAGACAGCCAGAGCTCTAGAAGAAAAATACCTGTATTCCACCTGCAGATGAAAAGGATCCCCAAGAAGCATGCCTTAGTTATACATTAAACCCCTACTATGCAGAGTCATCTTTTTACTTGTTTGTGCTTAAAGCCTGGACATGTGTAGGACATAGGAATGAAATGTTCTTTTTCTACCATGTGCCAAAAATGAGTATCTATTCTAAATATGCCCTAAGTAAACACCCTGCTTAATAGTTACCTCAATATTAAATCACCTGTGAGCAAGCCAAAACTCAGACAGGCATACATGCAATAGCTGGAAAGTCAAGTGCTCTCATCGTGCAATCAGAATACTTTTCATCAGACTGGAATGCTGTTTGCACTGCCCACTACCCAACTACTTATCTTGGAATTTCAAAACAGAACTGGTTAGACTTGATTATTTTTCCTTGCACAACAGTCGCAATCATTCAAAGCTGCTGTTGTGATATGTGACAATATATTCTATTGATAATAATTTTTTGTTTTCATCATTAACTTCGATTATCAGCCAAATTATCTGTTTTCTAATCTTGTGCATTTATTTCTTTATGAATCTCTGTCTGCTGAGAGGTGTTACTTAAAATGGATGCTTCTTTAACACAGAGAACTTCTTAAAACTTTATTTTCAATCAACCTGACAGACTTCCAACACTTTATTACACCGGGTTTCAGATATACAAAGTACATCATTCTGCCTATTCTTCTTCAAAGGAGAAGTAACAATTTTTGAAGTTTAGCCAAGAAAGACAGACCACTAAGATGTCAAGACAGACTTCCCCCTGCCCAGCCATCAGTAGCTCAGAGCAGTATCTACAAATGGATGATTAATGTTTAACCACCATAACTACTGCCAGGATAAACAACAGAGTGGCTGCCACTCAGAACAAGATTTATCTCATGACTGCATTCAAGGCAGTTTTTCTACCATAGTTAGGCAAGAACAAAATAAAAATCTTTGAAGAAAAGACATTAAAAATGAAGATATTAAATACATTGATTACTGTGCCCAGATAGAGAGTTAATACCATCTCTCTTCTTCAGATAATTTCTAGTCATGCTCTTTGTAAACTCTGAAAAGCAGCTTAGGTATATTTAACTACCTTTTTTCACTATAAATCACTTGAAAAAAATAAGGTTATCCAAATAGTTACGCACTTAAAGCTTTTCACTTGGGGAAGGCTTAATTGATCTTTTTCAGTTGCTGCAAAAAACTTAAAGGCCAGAGCCCAGACATGCCTTTTGCATACAGGAGGTAATACATCAGTCAGCAAGTAGTAGAGTTAGGTCTTCATCCAAGAGATGAACACATTGTGCGAACAGATGCATCTGAAGTACTGTGCAAGGAACCGTAAAATCAGTCTGTCTAGAGTCAAAACAGCATAATTCAAGTAGATTTTCTTCCCATTTATAATCGTAACAGCACCTGCAGTGCTGGTGTATTTCTGTAATCATGTGCTTGGACTACTTATGTGCACCTCCACAGCATTCCCGCTCATGCCCCTGCTCCATCTCACCAATTCCTGCATCCTCTTTGCTAATGCCATGTTGCTTCCAGCTCCAACACCTCGTTACAGCCAGTCCCATGAATTCAAAAATATAAAATAGTGTCTTCTTAACAATAGTTTAATTTTTTAAAACACTGTATTTTGATCTTTTCATTTGATATCTGTATGTCAGAATTTTGGCTCACATTTCAAGCTTCTCCTTCCATCCTAAGAGGCAGATATTTTCTTAAGTAAAAGGAGAGTTTCTTAAGTAATCACTTGACTTCAAAAGCTGGAGCTGTAAGAAAAAAGCACTCCACATTGCATTATTGAGTTCTGTCAACACCTCAGTTTCTTACAGCTTATTTGTTTTAAACAGTCACCATCTCTCTTCCAACCTGCTCTGGTTTCACTCCTTTCCCTCAACCTTTTCTAATGTTTCTTGTAGATGCTTAAAATTATTCTGACAAAAATATCTACTATGTTGCTTCAGCCCTGGTTTGTAGAAATCTTGCTGTGCTGATTCTCATCCCTTCCGCAAAATAGAATCCATCTTGAGAATAGTAAGTTCAGGGAAGAACAGATAAAAGCTGAACAATAATCTTGCAGTCGTTTCTTCAAGTTTTTCAATGTTTTTAACAGATCAAGACACGTACACAAAACTTGAACACGCCCGTAGTGATTTCAGTATTTTTAACATACAGATTTGTATAGTATCTATCAGTTACCTAGGGACAATACATTCTTAAAGCTGCCAGCTTAACAATTGGACTGTATATGTGTGTGTATATGTACATATATATGCATATAACATTTTATATATAATAATACATAACAAACATGTTATATATATTATGTACATATATTTATCCCCCTTCAACAGAACAGCTGAAAAAGGTCTTATCAGAAGTTTGACAACTTCTTTAAAATTAGTTTTATTTCTAAAAATGTTACTTTTTTTTTTTTAAAAAACACAATTTGTAAATTCTAATAGAACAGAGAACTGGCAGAGAAAACTATAGTAAAGGGTGTGAAAAAAGGACATCAATAATTAGCTGAAATCCTAAGAACTGAGTCCAGAGTATGGCTTGTCTATCTCAAGTGGCTGGCTTATAACCACACAGGAAGTGTGTAGCAGAACTGATCTATGATCTACCATGTATTAAATCAGTCTCAACTCTCTAACTTCTTCAGGCAAAAAACTTCAGTCTTCTGTGCTTACATATGATTCAATAAAATTGGAATAGTAATATGCGTGAAATTTTGAAAAGCACTTTGCAACATTTAGGACAACTTGGAATGAACACAGAAATACACAATTAACTACATTTTAATGAAAGTACTAACATGCATGCCACCTGCGCAGTTTATCACTCCATTGAGGGAGAGACCTCTGTTTCTCCACACCACGTGATGTGGGGTGGTTCACATCACATGGATCATGGTAAGCTCTGTTACGTGTAGGGCTTTTGTATGTGACTAAGAGCTACCTGTTCACTTCAGAGACAGTGCAAAAATGATAGTGATTTGGGGAAATCAATTCAAATGGTGCCTACACATTTGAATGAACAAGCATACAGATTTTGTCATAGGGTTCCTTAAAAATAGTTGCTGGTAAAACAGGATTTCTATGACAAAGAAGCGTATCTTTAGTAGTCTTTTTTCAGCAACTCTCAATCTTATCAAATAGGGTCTGTATCTCCAGAAACTCCTCTGACAAAGGTGTCCCCCAGCATCTGGAAGATTATCTAATTACAATTTAAAAAAACCTTACAGCAAGGAGGACTGACTACAGACAGAAGTCACGAAGAGCATTAAGAAAAGGGAAGAAAGAGTGAGAGTATGTGTGCGAGAGCAACTGAGCTTCACTTTCTCATATGTAAAGTGAGGGGAATTACACCTGTCCTCTCTGGTGTTGGGTTTGGACCTGCCTTCTTTCCTTCCTTTCACCACTTCTCTCTTGCTGCATACAGGCTCCATACTGGTATGAAAAACTTAACTTAAAAGCTCTGTTTGGGGCAGTACCAGCAGAGAACAGAAGATCGCTGTCAACCCTGGGCTGCGTCGGGGGAAGGGTAGATGGCTTCTCCTGGGAACATGAGGGAGGTTGCAGAGCACCTTTGCCCTGGAAATCCCACCCCGAGCAGGATCATCAAGAGCTAACAGCTCTTCCTTGCTCTCTCTAGACACCGGCAGTTGTCCGCAGAAGGAAACTGTATTATCATGCCTGGAAGGGAACTGCACGCTCATGCATTCCCACCCCATCACAGCTATTACTATCGCTGAGCTGGCACCTGCGAGAGTCCAATTGATTCAGTAGCATTTGAGATTGACTGCCAATCAAGCCCCTTCGCTCTTCTTCATCGCTAACAGCTCCTGCCCCACTCACCCTTTGGCATGGCTGGGCAAACC